AAAATCTCTTGATACGAAGGTGAGGAAGTTAAGATGGGTGGGGCATGTAGCTAAGAGCAATCCATCAGGAAGCCTCTACATAATAATTAATGCCTCAATAGGAGGCAAGAGACCACGTGGAAAGTTTAAAAGGAAATGGATAGATCAAATCAAGAAAGATGCAAAGGAGCTGCATGCAGGCAACTGAAAAAATAGATAGGCAGGGATTGAGAATGCAAGAAAAAGATATGCAAAATCTGTAATATCAACAGAAAAAAAAATGGGAATTTTTTTGAAAATGAAGACCCAAAGAAGTTGAAGAATTAGAACCATTGTCGCTAGACATGAGAATGTTAAGGTTAAATAATTGATTTGTAAATAATTCTAACAAACCATGCTGGCCTGTATTGTCCCCACATATTTTTGGAAGATAGCTCTCGCCGAGACTTAATTGTAAAAAGTCATTACAAGTTCCTCTTGTTGGTTGGGTAAGGCTGAAATCATTAAAATCCAAACGTAACTGAAAATAAAAATAAAAGCATCTTAAAAATACAATATCACAGCTGTTTATTTAATAAGCTGTAATAGTAATACCTGACATATACTGGAGTTTGTTTTTCTAACAATAAGATTGCATGATTCAGAAACTGTAGCAGGATTTCTAAAATACACTACTGGAGAGGATGAAACTCCTCCACAATACTTGATGTCTACCACAGCAAAGAAAATTAAATAATGTATCTTTTTTTTTCAGAATATAAAAGAATTCAGAGACTAAACAAAAACTATTACAATATGCAGTAAAATCAAAAATACATATATATATATATATATATATATATATATATATATATATATATATATATATATATATATATATATATATATATACACATATATATTTATATATATATATTTTTTTTTAAGCTTTCATTAAATATAGAGAAAGGAGTGAACACTCATTAGAAAATATATTCATATCAATAAAATTCATTTTTAATCTCTATCTTAGTGTTATTTTAGAATTTAAAAAAATATTTACAATCTGACATTACCAGGGCTTTAAACAAAAAAAAACTTATTTTTAAGAAGTTAAATAAATAGCGTTTATTTAAAAATTCTGTAGATTTCTCTGAAAAGTCGATATAAAAAATGACTATTATTTTTATAGGGGATAGGACCAGAATCACGCTCAAACCTTCATAATTTAATTGAAGAAATTATAATTCAATAATTTTTCAAAAAATATTTTTTTAGTTAAAAAAAGATAAACAAAAAGGTTTTTATCATACTATAATAAATAAATACAATAGTCTTTCTACTGTTAGTTCTATTATAAAATCCTTTATTATATATATTATAAATTAAAATATTTTAAAAATAATCAAGCTATTAAATTTAAAATAAGTATTAATAAAAATCAAACAAAATAATTTATGACTACTTAGACTATTTTAAAAAAGAATTTTTATCAAAAACATAATATTAGCGTGTAATGTTTATTTTACACAGAGGATAATTAAGTAATCTCTAATAATATGTTGACTATGAAATTATTAAAAAAAAAAAAAGTTGTCTCACTGATTGACAAAAAAAGAAATAATGGTAAAATTGATCCATAATTTATCTTAGTAATAAAACACTGGAATTAATTTTGGATGGTTAATGATTAAAACATTTATGTTTTCTGAAGTAAGACTTCAAGAATAGAAGTTTTTGTTTGCCATGTTATAGTAATAATCTTATTTTATAATGATAATTTTCTGAATTTGGGAGTATAACTACAATATCATGAACTTTATGCTTAGACCATTGTAAAATAATATTACTAAAAATGTGTAATACATATACTGATACTTATTTTTAAAATATTTAGTTGAAAAAAAATTATTCATACCAACACAGCAAAAACCCAAATTTCCTTGACAAGGTGAAGCAGATGTAAGTCCCGCATTTCTACATCTAGCTAATGTGTTACATGTTCCTTCCAAAAATTCAGGCCCAATCCCAACACATGGAGTAGGAGAAACAGTACTTATTCGATAAAATGGTATAATAGGAAAAAATACTGAAAAATTGAAATTAAATTAATTTATACTGAAATCAGATCTAAAAAGACAACAATAAATTACCTACACCTTTCATTTCTTAAATAAAGAGAACTTGTGTATTCAACTAAAATAAAAAAAAGAACTTTGATCCAATGTTTGAAGGACATTTTACCTAATACAGTTCCCTGATGAAGAACTGTTAAAAAACGAACTCCTCAATTATGAGTTAAACAGAACAGTTAGACAGACAGGTTCAATTAGTGTTTAGGTGTTAATAAGAATCAACAGAACCAGCCAGTGACCTTTTAAAATTATATTTCAGGCATGAGGGCCAATTTACAAAATAAATAATATGGAACAAGAATATAACATACAAAATAAATGAACCATCATAAAAAAAAAAATAAAATAAAAATAATCAACTTTAAACATAATACAAATTTATTGTTTCTACAATTATTATCTTTAATATTGACAGACAGCTTACAAAAGCCTGTATGCAAGTACAAGAAATAAAATTATTCGTATGACAAAATAAACCACAAATTATTTATTTTATGAAATAGATTTCAAGTTCAATTTTTTTAAAGACAAAGATGCATTGTTTTAAATAATATTTTTGGATTGTACTTCTGAATAGTACAAGTCTGATCAGAAAAATTAAAAAACACACTTTCTAATAAGATTGTACTTACAGATTTCTGTAGTATGGCTATTGACATATATAAAAACAAAATTTCTACATTGTATTGATTTATGGATTATAAGTAGATTATTTACACAATATAAATATGATTTTAGAAGCTGTCAAAGAAAAATTTAATATTTTTTACTATTTACTATTTAATAATACTTAAATATTTATACTATACCCATTCAAACCCTAATGCTCTAGTTTAAGATCCATTGAGATTGATGACAATTTTATTTATTCAGTTATATCAGTTATGAAGAATTGACTCTGATATCAGTTGTACCTTCTATGGTATACTTAGACTCTATAAAGTGGAATTCTTAATTAGAAGGAGATATGATCCTGGTAGTTTAGAATTAATGCCGATCACATCATCTCCTTGAATAATCACTGGTTAAGAAACGGTAAGTCCATACCAATTACAGACATCGGAACATTTCGTAAGTTGAGGTGGTACAGGTTTAATTTCTTTATTTTTTTAAAATACAGCACTATTCCTAATTATTCTGACTCAGATATAATCATAATCAATGATTATTACAACAATTACAGTAATTTTTATTACACAATTACAATCGTAATTAGATTTCCGATTATGGTTGTAATCATGTGGTTGTTTAACATTTTTGTTATATTTATAGTACTATTGTATCAAATATAAAATTAGCGTGGTACTTAAGTTTTATTTTCAATGTGAATCATATAATCATTGATTCTGATTTTATCCATCTTATTCATCTCTGTTCAGACCATATATATGATGTAGTAAATAGTTTTCATAAACAATGATAGAATGGTTTTGATTTCCTGAAAGATAAATTTAAGTTGTGAGGAATTGCTAATGTGGAGAGGCCATTTTGTCATCATAATAAACAAGTTCCTGGTTAAAGTCTTTCATGGAACGTGAAGTAGAAGATTGCCATGAGCTGTGTTTACAATTTTTAAAGACAGCAACACAAAATAATGACCCCTAATGAATATTGCTAACATGGTTCCCCATATCATTCACTTCTTTGCAATAACTCCTATCAAAGGGTAACCTATTTGTTAGATTTTGTCTTTTTTAACAGCTGTTAGAGCCATGGATTTATTCAAATCAAATTTTGAATGTGGATTTAAAACTCCAGCAAGTTTTTAGTCTTAGTCAATGTGATGAGAATTCAAAATATAATAAAATAAATACATTTACCTAAGAATAAAAATAGCTTTTTTAATTTTGCTGGTTGATTATCATTCAATATTCCTAAAGGTCTTTGAGAATATTTGTCCAAAAGAAGAATGAGAATTTAGGAGGTATAACTTAATGGACATACTTAACTACTAAACGGGAAATTGAATCAATTTGTTTGATTTTTGTAAGTATATCATATAGTGTAGGACTTACAATAGTTACATATTGTGGCTGAAAATAATTTAACATTGAGATTTGTAACTATGATTTTAATTAAAGTTGTTATCCAGAGTATCCATCACAAATTGGTTCAAACACAAACCAAACGAATAATAGAATCAGAAAATGTTAGAGGAAAAGTTGTAGCTCTACTTCTAAGACATGTGGAGTTCCGGGTGAGTGGAGATGGTAGATCCCTCTTTGCAAATTTGGACAAGAATCAGAAACCTCAGCTCATGTATTGGGCAAATGTCCAAATAACATGCTCCTTGTCACCACAATAATATAAAACATTGAATAGCCGAATTCCTGGAAATATAGATGCTTCCTCGAAGTTTCCTGGATAAGGCAGGTTCAGTAAGATTTGTAGATATCTAAGACTTTACTGTTAAAGGAATGGAGGCTATGATAGTTGATCCTACAGTTAGATTTGAAATGAACGATGAGGATCAAGATGTCAATATATAAATAGAGGAGATATAAAAAAAATGCATTCTGTACCTACAGGAAAAATATAAAGAGGAATTTTGTGAGAGAATTTTCGGTTTAGGGACTTCGGTTTGGCAGTAGAGGAGCAATTTCTCTTTCAACTGTTGGATTTTTGGAAAAGCTGGGTGCTGAAAGGAATCAGCTACAGAGTATGGCGGAATCTATTATTTTCGACTCACTGGGAATCCTCCTGCACCATCACATATAATACTTAATGGGAATAAGAAAAAAGAAAAGAAATTTTATATATATATATAGTATGTACTCATTGTAACAGTTGAAAAACAAAACGGAGGATAAGAAAAAAAACAAAGAAATTCTAGTTTATACAAAGTATATTTTTGTAACAAGTATAAATATATAATAACAAATGTAAAATACTAAATTTTATTTGCACTATGTATTTATAAGAAGGGTGAGTACAAAAAAAAAATAATATAACAAATCAAATTAGTTTATATACAAACAAATAAATAAAAAGAAACTTGTCTATAATTAAAATCTTTTATATTGTTTCTTAAATTTCTCAAAGTGATAATCATCTGTGGCTTTTTCAACTCCTCCTCTGTTCCTTTTTGTTCCTTTTAAATCTTTATTTACAGGAGGAAGTTTATTTTCAGGAACTTGAGGTCTCTTATTTGCCTGCCCCTGATCTTCAATGTTAACTGAAACAGAATAAAAAGGTCACATTTAGAAATAGAATAGAATACCAACAGGTTAGGCTGTATGTCTAGAATAACCTCCCCATATATTAGAAACGGCAAGGTAGGGGTATCGATAAAAAAAAAAATAAAAATTAGAAATTAAAGGGCAGGGTGGCCGAGCAGGTAAATGAGTAAAACAACATGAGTAAAATCCATGTTACCCGACAACCTCATTAACAGAAGATTACGTGTTCAAAGTTCTGAGTAATTTTTTTTTTTATCTGTGGAATTAATCCCCAGCCCATTCCCCTGGTCCAGGGAAAACCCAGTAGAGCCGAAAAGGTGAGGGAAAAAATTTAGAAATTAAAGCATATTTATTTCATAACATTCATTATTGCAAACAAAATTATAAATCAGAATCCATTTATATATAATATATTATCAATAAATCCACTTACATCTGTTATGCTGCACAAAATTAACAGCCATATTTGTTGGAACGAATTGTGATGGTCCATCTTTTTTATTGTGTTTTTCCCACAATAATTTCAATTTAGCTTCTTCAGTAGCTTCAATATTTTTAATTTTAGCTCTAGAATTCATAAGAACGAAAATAAATACATATTTATGTATAATACAAAGAAATAAAAGAAACAATTAAAAAATAAAGAATATTTTATCAAGTTAATTTTTAAAGTAATGATCAGCCAAGTTTAGATGTTTCGTATAAATTTTTATTTTAAATTAAAGTATTGCTGAGAATGATCTAAAAAAAATAAAATAAATAATAAGATAAATTTGAAAGGCTACCACAATTCCAGCCAGCAACTTTGTTTCTATTTTTTAAATACAAAAATTTAATTTATAACAAGCAAATGCGACCGAGAATCAGAAACCCCCGCTCATGAACTGGACAAATGTCTGAATAACATGCTCCTTGTCACCCACTGGCATAATAATATAAAGCATTAAATTGGTGACTTATTGGAGGCAAAAAAGTATAGATGTTTATTTGAAGTATATTGCATGAATAAGGAAGGCTCAGCGAGATTCATAGATATCTTAGCCTTTAGTGCGAAAGGAAAAGAGGCTCTAATTGTTGATCCTGCAATTCGATTGGAAACTAATGATGAGGATCAAGATATCAAAATACAAACAGAAAAAAAGAAGATCTATAAAAAATGTATTTCATACCTCCAGGAAAAATACAAAGAGAAATTTTGTAAAAGAGAAATTTTCGGTTTGGGGAGTTTAGTTCGAAAGTAGAGGAGCGATTCCACTTTCAACTGCTGAGTTTTTGGAACGGCTGGGTGTGGAAAGGAGCCATCAACAGAATATATTATTTTGGACTCATTATGAATCCTACATCATCATCTGTATTAGTTTTGGCCACTTCGTTATAAGCTTTACGGACAGTTATGAGAAGGAAGAACATGTGGAGAAAATTATATTAATGAATAAATAAATGATAACATTCCATACTTTGGATGATCGGTATCCTGGGTCATTTAGCAACTTAACATAGTTGAGCAGTTGTACAGTTTTATTGTACTCCTCTATCTTTAACCTGCCAAGGTTGTGTTTTATTTATGTTCATAAAAGAGCCTATAATGGTTACAGATTAAATAAAAAGCTTGGTTTAGTATACAAATTTTAACTTTTTTTCCCTCATGTAATATAATTAAAAATTATTCTGAAGTATTCTATAATTAAGCTATATGTATTTTTTTTTTGTAAACTGATGACTGGCTTTTCCTTTTAATTAATTATTTGATTAAAAGTATCCACTTTATAGAGGTTGTTCTCCGGACCTCAAGGTTGATATACTAATCTGCTCCATATACTATTAGAACCTCGAATAAGTTCTCAAAATTAATGCTTTATTTAAAGTAAGTAGTAAAAAAAAATTACTCAAAGTACGGGAATCTTTCTGGCAGCAATTGAATTCTAAATCAGAAAAACGGAAAGTCTTTTAAGGATATCCAAGAATCGATCCATTTTTTTTTTTTTTTTTTTTTTGTATTTTCATAGTAATGAAAGTACTGCTCAGTCAGGCCATATGCCATCAAAGAAAATATGTGATAATCAGAAAGGGGCTATATATGATGGATACAGAGAGGCAGGACTTCCCATTTAAGCATTTCCAAGTAGAATTTTACCAATTTTTCAACATATGGCCGGGCTTTCTCATGTAATAAAATCAACTTTAAGCGTATTATCCATCTATTTTTTTATATTTACACATGTATTATCATTCTGATAAAAATTATTAGCTTAGGTAGCCGTCTTTTAATCTTCATTATAAAAACAAGAAATATTTTTACTGAGGAAAGATGGTCCAATGTGAGAGTCATAAAAAACAAAACAAACAAATAAACATTAAAATATTGCAAGTAAAACAGCAATGTTTCAACTCAATTATGCAGGTCTTCATAAGGGCTAGAACTAACAAGATACAAATGCTATTTTCAATGGCCTTTGTACCTTGTTCATTATAGCACTGATGAACACCTTAACAGTTGGGTCGAAACATTGGCTTAAATTAAATAGTTCACACAATTTTAAGTTTTTTTTATGACTTCCACCCTGTACTATCTCTTTCTTCATTATTATACTGTGGTCATATATTAGACAATATTATACTTTGAGTATTCAAGAAATATATATTATTTTTATCTATTAAATTTCATTAAGTAAGGCTTTCGCACTCTCCTGATTTTGATCAAACTTGTTATGGGTGCTTCAACCTTATAATGAAATCATAATTTAATTTCTAGTACAGGACAGTCTTGATAATCTGGATATCTTAACTCTCTCGTCGGTCAATTTTGGATTATCGAGACTGTCCTATAATTCAAGAGAATATCTCATCATTTATACCAAAATCATACTTGAAGGACTAGTTAGTCGGGGAGTACACCCAACAATCAAATACTATGTTGGTGTAATATTTATTTATAGAATAATACTTATTTATCATTTGAATATTGAATTTACAAAATAATACTTACTCTATGCCAAGATCAACTTCTGGAATACCACTGAGCATCTGATTGGACAACATCTCTTCTGATCTTAGTGATGAAGAAGTTGTAAGATGAGAGGGCACGGCAAGAAGTGCAGCTTCCTCTGGGGAACAATATTTATTTTTTGATTCATTGTCGTCATCATCCTGTTTTCCTTTCCTCTTAGATAGCTCAACCTCAATGTATTTCATCCTAAAATAATGAAGTTTATTGAAAATGAAAAAAAAAAAAATAATAATTTTTAAAAAACAGTATAGATAAAATTCAATTAATAGTTATTAATAATTTCATTTGTATATTAATAAGCAATGCATTTAGAAATTTAATGAATAAAAATAAATAAAAACAAACATTTCATCATCTTCATCACGTTTATTAGTTTCAGCTGAAAACTGGGTACCTATGCCAGTGTCATATGCATCATCTTCTGCTTTAACTTTACCACTTTTTAATGAGGCCATATTTATGAGTCCTCCACTTTTGATTTTAAAAGGGTCACTCTGAAACAGAAATAATAATAAATTTAAAGAAAATTGTAAGATTATAGCATTATTGGATACCATAAGTCTTGGCCATCTGTTCTGAGAAAAGAAATCACTTGGAAGAACTATAAAAATTGTTTAATACTATCAGAACAGATTACTTTTGGAATCACAAGGTGTGAAGTGTAATCAAAAATCCATGGAATAATTTTTATATCAACAAGAAATCTGTGTAGATTATAATGTCTCAACTATTGGTCCACTAAGATATTTTGGAAGAAGTACTAATTTATTATTTTATTTAATATACTACAGACACTCACAATTAAAATTTCTTCATCCCTGGATACTTTTTCACCAAGTGTCAATGTAAGCACGCTTACACCATGAGGTCGATCTCTAAGCTTTTGTATGGTTTTCATTTCTTCAAGTTTTTCTCTAAATAAAAAAAAAAAAAAATTTTTAATTGATCATGTACTTCTATTAACAAGAAAAACCATGCAAAATATTGAATAAGTCCTTACTTAATTAGTTCATCTTCACCATCATCCCCAAAACTTTCATCTGCAGTTAAATTTTTTCTCCGAAATGATTTACCATTTCTAGACTTAGGTTTCTTTATCTTTATAATATTGTTTTCCTCAGAGTCAGACATATTAAATATAAATAATTTTATGAATACACAGAAGCAATATTAAACAGATGAGTGCATCGAAATGTTCATTCTTTAAAACACTGTGACAAACTACACCAAAAGCTTGTTGAATTGTTGACAATTACCTTCCCTTGAGTAGGTATACATATTACCCAAAGAGGTAAAACATTGCTTTCTAGCTGAGGGAATAGGCAAATCTTTCACTGGAACTAGTGCAATTTTGTATTAACTAACAGATTTCAGTCTTAGTATTGAATTAAACTTCTTTGTTAGAATTCAGAACTTTATTAATAATGATATTAACTTACACTAGTAGGCCCGTGCGAAAATTCGATAAGTTTATTGTTCAGTGATCAAATAATAAATTAATAAGAAAATAAAACAACGCAAAACATCATAAAAGAAATTAATTGTTACTTTCTCGCTAAATATAATCGACAAAGGAAGCAAAAATTATTTAACAACTTCATTAATGTTTAGTTCCCCAATCCTTAAAATGACCTCGGGCAGTGGAAGGAATTCGTTACATGTATATATTGTATTATTATGTATACTATATATGTAAATTGTTTCAATAAACATTTTGGAGGGTAAGAAAAAAAAATTAATGTTTGGAACCAACAAATTTCAATAAGCTGTATCTTTACTAAAAATAGTCGGAGTTTCATGATTTTTTTTTCCTTTTGTAGAGAATTTAGTAATCTTTTATATAATCATCGACATAACAAAGGGGAAAGTGTGTAATTTTCGAGTTATTCGCAAATAAAGTTTCTTTTCTTTCATAACCTTTTTGCTTGAATATTCGAGGTGATTGTACTGTTTTGCAGTAGAAGGAGACCTTCTAAATTGGTGGTTCGATCTTGTGATTTAGTGAAGAATTAACGATGATGTGGCTTACCGACAAAAAACACCTTCGATAAATAATATAAAATCCTCCTCTTTCGGTCAAGTCGACGGAATGATACATGTATTCAATGACAGTAGTACAATTAACGTAAGGTTGTGTGGATGCGAATCCTTTGCCTTGCATTATCTCGAAAATAGTACGTTTTTGGGCTTAAGAACGTAGGAGTATTCGGGTCTTGCTGTACGCATGAAAATCGTTAAAAGCCCAATTTGTCGCGTATCTATCGATCTACCGACTTACAGCCGTTCCAATATTGAAGCCTAGCAAAATGTTTGTATCGACTTTATTTATTTTAGAAAGAAAAACAAAAGCGGCAAGCACGATTTGCTAAACCTCCGTGAAATTCTGAATCCAACGGTACCCCATTAATGGTATTTGAGCATGACTGGAGCTTATATTTGGCATAAAACCTATTTCGAGCCTTCCTGTAATAATATATGTGGGGATGGGGATACTTGATATTTGAAAAAAAAAAAGCATCTTGGAGGAAATCAGCTGTTATAAAATCCAGAAAAATAATGCCCTTAATTATGGTTGAAAGATAATTCCGAAAGCCGCTATGCGGAAACGTAGTCATAACGACTTAAGTTTTCTTTTCTGCTTAACGTTTTTACTGTATTTTTCAAAGATTTAAATAAAGTTAAAAGGCTTATTGATTAATATTTGAACCCAGTTTCATAATTAATACAATAGTTTAATACTTTTTGTAGAAATACATGTTTTTCAGCTACTCGATGCAGAGTGTGTGATTTGGTACATTAACACGGACACCCTAGGAAATAAAAAATAAAGGTACGAAACTGGAAGATTTGTTCAAATGATAATCATGACAAATTTTGGCACGGAGATCCCTTGAAAACTGAACATAAATAATTTACCCGAATGGAACACCTTCCTTGTCTACATGGTAAGGGTTCATCATAATTGAAGCAATTCTTGGCAGTTTTGTGACTGTTTTTTTTTTCTTACCCTCCATAAGGCAACTATACAATTTACTGTATATATATACACATTATGTATACATACACTCCAGTATATTCTTTACATTTATTTACCCGGAGTTATTTTAAGGTGGAATTTGGCTAAGTGTGCGGAAGTGACTGATTGTGGGGGGAAGAAGCTCTTATGTTGGAGCAGTTTGGAACTGCTTCGTGTGCGTAATAGGTTCCGTGGAACGGCTCCACCGATTTCGAACCATCGTTATCTGCAGGTAGTTATCTGGGAACCTTGTTCACAAGATAGACTATTGTTGAATTTTCTTTTAAATATTGCCTATCAGTTTATTTCACAATGCCTCCCCTGATCAGTTCTGCGGCAGATAAATCAAAAGAACTTCCTGATGAAAATTTATGGTATCTATTGTCTATTTTTTTTCATTTATGATAATGACTAGGTGCATATTCCTAATTTTACAATACACATTGTATCCCTATAATTTGTAATCAATGAAGTTATAACATAATTATAATTTTGTGATAAAAATAGTGAAAATATTACAAAAACCTACCGAAATATTATTGTTCGTTAAGAGAACCTGCTCGGTTCTTTTGTTTCAGATTTTAATTAAATTTAAAATCAAATTATATTCTAAGGTGCTCTAAGTTTCGTAATATAGTTTTTTTTTTTGTGTATTGCAAAGAGTAGTACTTGATATAATCCTCTTGCATATGTTTTAGATTGTGTTCAATGTTACTTGTCGAATTTCACAAGAATGATATATAACCAACCTGAGGTTGGATGACTATTTTGTACTGTATATTTATTTCGTATAACTATACAAGTGTCACGTCTGATTGAAAGGTTAACTTGACAGGTTCGATCAATCTGTCATCCAAACATGACACTATTACAGTCTAACATTTTTAATTTATCATTTTGGCATCAATAGTTAAATTTTCTGAAATTCTGGTATCAGTTTCCTAATGTGCTGACAAGAGTATATGTATAGCTTCATTAATATTAGTATTTTCTGATACATTGAAAAAACAGATGCTAAGAGATTAAATGGATTTGGGAATAAATAAAAGCTAAGCGGAAGGCTGGCAAAGAAGTTTTATTAATTTTCAATATTGTCTACAGAATTGTATTGACTTAATGATTAAAAAAAAATATAATAGGGATTAAATAGTTAATTTAAAACCCAATATTCTAAACAGTATATTAAGATTATGGCCTAATACAATTTTGTTATTGACACTTTTTATTTATTTATTTAATTTTATTTATTTATTATTTATTTTATTTATTTAGGACATCTATTCTTGGTGAAGTTCAAACTAAAGGAAGTAACAAGCTCCCTTCTAACAAATCCATTTTAGTTCTTGGTAAGTATCTTTGTTTAAGTATTAGTTGGAATACATAAATTCTTTTGATTAAATTTCTATTTTGTAAATATTGGTTAAATTACTCAGTTGAAATTTATTTTAGAGTGAATGAGGAAAGGATTATTTTCTTTAATATAATGAATATTAGTATCACTGTTGTTGGTACTAGTGTTAAATCTTAACTTTAAAATGTTTTCAAGCTCCTTTTTAGCACATTGCAGATGGAATCCTAAAGCAACAGAAGTGTTAAGTAATCAACATTCCCATACTCTTTTGGATTATTAAGAATAATCTATAATTACAATGTCAGGAATTAAATAATTGTGACTAAATTGTCATTATTAAAATTAAATGCATTTATCTCTATCTTACATCATATTATTAACAATGAATATAATAATGTTATATATTATTTATAAATAAGCGCATTTTTCTTCATTATATTTTGTTACAAAATAAAGTATAGATAACATTACTTATATTCTATAATAACTATGTTATATATTTACTTTTTTTTATACAGATTATAGAAGATGAGGTTGGGATTTAGTGCTGAATTTAATATTTGAATAGGACCTGAAAAAATTATTCATGGATTTCTCTCCATGACCCTGTATTGTAGTAGACTTTTTATTTTAGGTCTCAAATACTTATTTATTATTTTAGGTGACAATGAATCTGGAAAAACCACTCTCATTGCTAAACTTCAAGGAGTAGAAGATCCAAAAAAAGGTTCTGGATTAGAATATGCATATATAGATGTTCGGGATGAGTATAGAGATGGTAAGTTTTTTTAAACAAAGTTATTTATGAAATTACACATACTAATGCTCTAAATTTCATTTACATTATTAGTTTTATGCATCATTATGGAAACTATGAACCTTTTGTTGATGTTTATAAGTATTATCCATTTTTTTTTTACTTTCTATACATTTCGTCCCTATACTAATTAGTGAAAAAAAAACCTGACACGTTTTTCATCCTAGACTAAAGTTTCAGCTTTATACCCTTAGTAACAAAATAGAATGTATACATTTTTTTCTTGAGTTTTCTGAATATTTTCTCTACTATTGAAAAGTAATTTTTTTTCATATCTTGATTTTCAGATCATACAAGATTGGGCGTGTGGGTGTTAGATGGGCATCCGATGTACAAACAACTGCTGAAATTCGCACTTCCTGCTGAATCTATCCCGAATACGTTAGTAATGTTCGTTGCTTCTATGACAACTCCATGGGCTATTCTTGATCAACTTCAAAGTTGGGTTGCAGTGCTTCATGACTACATAGATTCTCTTAGAATTCCAGCTGAAACTTTGCAGGAATATCGACAGAAAAGTAAGTTTATTTAAGGATGAATAATTTTCAGGATGTGCATTAAAAACGAATTATGTTAATTGAGTTTGCGGACGTTTTGACCCAAGCATGTGGATCATCATGAGGGAAGATACTGAAATCTTGTCTGACATTCAAACTATTGCTCTGTTTGGATCAAAACATCGGAAAACTCAATTAACATATTTATTTTTTTATTCCACATCCTGACAATTTTTCATCCTTACAACTTCAAGAGTCAACTACATACCTATTTCTATTGTATTGTTTTAATTAATAATTGATTTTGTAATTTATTTTTTGTGTTGAATTAAATGATTTATATGATGGCGTATGATCTAAAGTGTTAAACACTACTTTTCTTACATTAAGTTTTATTAAAAAGTTTTTAGTCTATTTTGGTTAACCTTATTTTAAGTTATTTTTCATGTACCATCTACATATTTTTTAAATTTTATTAGCTCAAGTTTTAATCTCAGTAAAATATTTTCCTTTAATTTAATTAAATATATTAATTAGTAATTATTTAAAATGTTAAATTATTTCTTACCTAATTAATGCTTTCAGTTGTTAAAAGGTGGCAAGAATATGTTGATCAGACAGACGATCCCGATCTCAATGTTAGTAGAACTTCTCGTAATTTAGAAGAAGAGGGCGAAGACTTGCCTTTATCTGAAGGTGTCCTTACCTCTAATCTTGGATTAGATGTTGTTGTTGTTATTACTAAGGTAAATAATATACGATAGATACAAATATTTATCTCAAAATTAATATTATTAATAATTTATATTTTGTAAAAAATTTTAAACAATATATAAATCCATTAAAAAAAGAATTCTTCCAACCAATTAGTTCCAACCCTTGATCATATGGGTGGCTTAGATCATATCGGGAAATCTTACTGCCCCATATATAATACAATTGATGTATATTTTAAAAATAAATGAAGTTAGAAGCTTTTAAGGAATCAACTGGGGAACAAGATTTGACCATTGATTTTAAAAATAACTGGATATGAAGATAAGAAGAAATTGGATAATATGCCGTGGAAATGTTCCGGCTTCTCTTCACCTCGCATTGACAAAACATAGCGCTCTTCACATGCAATCTCCCTTATTTTTGTACTCTTTATTGTTTCAAGCTCTTAATTTTCCTCTGATAATTCAATATTTTGTAAGGATTAATAAGTTATTTTTTCAATTTATATAATAACATAAGGGAGCAGAAAAATTATGTAATTTATTTATAATAACAACATAACTTTGATTAATTCAACCAGAACAAAGGATTGTTCATTATTGTTTATTAATCATTAACAAAATATTCTTATGCACTTGAACCGTATATTCCACAAAGCTTATTATCTATAAAAACATTCCTAAATAAATTCAATTTATTCTATTTTCATCCATTTTTATTAATTCTGGATCTCAAAAAAAAAAAAAATGTATGATCCATTATTATATTTACTTAATTTAATTCTATTAGAATTCTTTATTAATTTAATTGTAGTTTTATGTTTTGTGACTGTCTTGAAAAATTGAAATGTTTAAGTCTTTTTTAACCAAAGTTCATCTAATGCCTTACTGCATTATTATTATTATTTTTAAGACAATTTATAATATATTGGAATTGCACACATTCTCTGTAATACATGAAATAGAATAATTAGGCGGAAAATATACATATATTTCAAATCCATCTAATTACATTTTTTTGTGAAAAATAGTTTTGAATTAATTATTTTAAAACATATTATCTTATTTAAAGTAAATTAATAAAGTATTCTCACCGGAATTAAATTGAGTTTATGTAATAATAGATTTGTTCAATTAATTAAAGGAACATTATTGTTCAAACCAAATTACATATTTTTCCTATTGTTATATAAATTAAATAATAACTTATTAACTCTTATAAAATATTTAATTATAAGAGAAAAATCATGAGTTTGAAACTATAAAAAGTACAGAAATAAGGACTGCTTATAAAGAGCTTCATTTTCTGTCCATGCAGAATGGGGGGAAGTCAGGTCGTTTTCTGCATTCTTTAGCGACCTCAGTGAGCTATCCAGTTCTTTTTAAAATTGATAGATTTGACCATAAATAGTATTACAATATGTAGATCATTCAAATCTCTTAAGATGTAAGAAAACTGTTAAAATGGGAACTAAATTGAAAAACAAACTGCATCCAAATCAACTTGATTTTCATTATGAGTTAGAAAATAATAGCCTATTTTTATTCAATGAAAGTCAAGTTTTTATTCCTAATTAAATTGTTTCAATGTTATTTATATTTTTTATCTAACAAATTTAATATATTTGTGTAATTGTTTATATCCACAGACAGATTATATGTCAACTTTGGAAAAAGAAAACGATTATAGAGATGAACATTTCGATTTTATTCAACAGTGGGTTAGGAGGTTTTGTTTACAGTACGGAGCTGGCTTATTTTATACTTCAGCTAAAGAAGATAAAAATTGTGACTTACTGTATAAATATTTAACGCATCGCCTCTACTCTCTTCCGTTTCGTACGCCTGCATTAGTTGTTGAAAAAGAAGCATTATTAGTGTAAATTATTTATTTGTATTTATTAATTTTGCTAAACTTTATTGAATATAATTATAAATATCTTTTTTTTTTTTTTTTTTTTTTAGACCTTCGGGATGGGACAGCATGAAAAAAATTAGTATAGTTTGTGAGAACCTTCAAAGCATGAAACCTGATGATTATTATAGGGATGTTATTGCACCACCAGCATCAAGAAAGGTAATAATTTTGTTTTATTTTTTCATTAAAGCAGCGATTTCCTGACCTCAATTTTCTGTTAAGCCGCATTTGCACATTACCCGAAGAATTGCAAAGACAAGCATGTAAAAGGGATGTTTCTCTTGACAAGCATTTATATTCCTTTGTTTGAGGATGATCCTTCTGCTATCAGTGTTAGGAGATTAATCAAAGAGAGCTTGTGGAAAGAGCATTTTCGTCCAATATTTCAACAGATAATATTTGGGTTTCATCTGTCTTTTTTTTTTATCGTTTTTATTTTTTCAGTAAAAAAACTTAATATCATGTATTTGTTTTTTATTTTTTATTTGTAGCATTCAGGAAATCTGTAAACTTACTTTTATGTTTCTAACATATGACTATTTTTAAATGATGTAGAGATGGTTGACCGTTGATATAATATGAGAAGGAGTTAATTGGGAGGTGCGGTCAAATAAATACTAAATTAAAATATAGTAATTATTTAATTTTTGCCGACGTTTCGACCCACATTGCAGGTCGTCTTCAGGGCTACAAAAGATACAAAACATGTTGAAAATAAAAAATAAATATAAATAGATATAAAATAAGAAGTTATCAGATACAGAAATAAAAAGATGATATCAGAGATATAGTGGGTGACAGTGTAGTTAAAATATTAAGTATTATATATGTAGAAGATACAAACAAATTGAACAAAAGTATGAATAAAAATAAAAATTTAATAAATAAATAATAATAATAAATAAAAAAAAAATATTTTTATTCATACTTATTTCCAATTTGTTTGTATCTTCTACATATATAATACTTAATATTTTAACTACATTGTCACCCACTATATCTCTGATATCATCTTTTTATTTCTGTATCTGACAACTTCTTATTTTATATCTATTTATATTTATTTTTTATTTTCAACATGTTTTATATCTTTTGTAGCCCTGAAGACGACCTGCAAATTGGTTCGAAACGTCGGCAAAAATTAAATAATTACTATATTTTAATTTAGTATTTATTTGACCGCATCCCCCAATTAACTCCTTCTCAGACTATTTTTAAAGTTATTAAATAAGTTTTTTTTATCATGCATCATTCTTTGTATGTTACATTGCTAGAACTTTTGCTCTGGTATTAAAACTTTGACATCACTCGTTTGAATTTTCATTTTTCGATTTCTGTTATATTCTCTGAAGTATGATTACCTGAAGTTACGTAATTTAGATTCACAAAAAAATAAAATAAAGTAATAAAGTGCGATTTTTAATTTTTAATTCGCAACTGTTTTATTGCGTAGCATAATATTCCGTCTCTATAAAGGACAATAGTTATTGTGATAAAAAAATATAATGTGAAAGTAAACAATAATACCAAACCTATTATTGGAAATTAAAAATAAAAGTTTACTTTATGTAATGAGTGGGAATGGAACAGCTCAGTGTTAGGGCACTGATCTTCCAATGCTCTAGGTTCCAGGTTCGAATTCTTGCTCATGGCAGAAAAATTATTTATTCTGTTTAATCGGCCGTGAGGCTCTATAAAGTGGGTACCCTTAATTAAATAATTAATTAAGGGGGAAAACCTGGCGGTTTGAGCATGATCTCAGTCACATCACTTCCTTATAACCGTTATTCATCCTTATAATCCTTCCATACAACCGTTGACTAAGAAAAAGTACTTTTCCTAGGTAGTACTGAATCTAAGACCCTTCATTGGTTGTATTGGTATTGGGTTTTTTTTTTTTTTATATTATAAGTATTGAACTAATTTTTTTTTTTATTGTTTTATTGATAATAAAAATGAAAAAAAACTTTGTAAAACTAAAATTACTATTGTAAGGAATGGGAACTCAATTTAGTATCCCCTGTCTCCTTTCAGAGATGTTACGCCAAACTATTCTTTTAACATTGCCTGAAGAAAAATATATTACTTGTTATTTAATGTTTTGAGGTAAATTACAGTTATTGATTAATGCACAATATTTTTAGTCTGGGGGTCGTGAAACTGAAGTTGTCGCTGAAGATGAACAAGTTTTCTTAGCAAGAATGCTTTCTCTTCTACAGCAGGGCCATGATAAGCAAACTCCTGCAGTACAGAAAACTGGGTCTAGATTACAAACATGTATGGGACCTCCAAGTATCACGCCCCCGAAAAAGGTATTTGTTTAGATTTTTTTTTTTTTCTTTACAAAAATATGTTATTAATTTGATGTTTAAATGTTTTTTCCTCCTGAATTAGTAACCAAACTGATTAAATACGCAACATAATAGAATGAAAGAAAAGTTTATAACATAAATACAATTGCAAAGGATGTCTCCGATTTAAGAAGATAAGAAATCCTTACTCCCTCTTCCCTCACCTTTTATCGTTATTCATTCCAAACTTTCTGGTTTGTATGTTTTCCATACTTCTTTGTTTATTTTATGTTTGTTCATTCTTTCTACACTTCTTATATACAGCCATGGTCATGGAAATTGCACCACTCAGTAAAATTTTTATTTTATTTACCAGATTGCTATCTGCAAGATCCCTAGATATTTCTTTGCCACTTTAGAAGCGATATTCTAAAAACTATCGCACCATTAAGTTGGTTAAATTGTTCGTTTTTTTCTCCTCCTAATTCCGTTCTTTAGCTCCATGGTGTCCTAAGGAAGATTTTTTTCAAAACTATGGCTACCATTGATTGATGGTACTCTTTCCTCTTCTCTATTTCCAATGAAAATTCCTTCACTCCATGTTACATCACAATTTTATTGTTTTCTGGAAAGCACAGTTGTTTGAAACTGGTCATAATTACAGCTTTTATCCCGGCATTAGTTTTATAACTGAGAAACATTGTTTAAATTTTCTTGTGATCTAAATAAGTAAAGAAAAACATTCAATGAAAACAATTGTATCAATATAAGAATCAAACGAAATTTGTGATGTATGTTTATAGGGTAGGGGGAACAGATCTTTTTTCTCTCTTTCAAGAGTACTGAAATCCAGAAAAATTTCCAGAAATCTAAAAATAAGGGTGTACAACGCCATGATTAAGCCAGTTCTGTTGTACAGTTGTGAAACCTGAGCTCTAACCGGCACACTAGAAGCCAGAATTGAGAGATTTGAAAGAAAAGTTCTCTGTAAGATAACAGGACCCATATAGGATCAGAACCTTGACACATGGAGGAGAAGGAACAAAAGAACTACTGAAAGAAACGGGTCAGTCAATATCTCATGACATGAAGGCAAGGAGGTTAAGATGGGCAGGGCATGTAGCTCGTAGCAGTCCATCAGGATGCCTTTACACAACAATGAATGCCAGAGTCACGGGCGGATCTACGGAGGGGAGGGGGCTTTCGGGCTGAAGCCCCCCCCAAAATGCTAAAATATAACCATGTTTTATCGAAAAAAAATATTTAAAAAGTATCTCTTAAAGTATTGTTGTTCATGTAATTACATTTAAAAGGGCTTTGGGAATCACTTAAACACCATTTCATACAGGTAATTAGCTTCTTTCTTTTTTTCCAAAGTAATTATCGTAATTTTTATGAAAAAAAACACTTTCGGGCTGAAGCCCCACAAAATTAAATCCTGGATCCGCTAGTGGCCAGAGTAGTAGGCAAGAGAACATGTGGGATGCCAAAAGTCAGATGGATAGATAGGATAAACAAAGATACGGCTGAGCTTCATGCCGCAAACTGGAAAACAGTAGTCCAAGATAGGCAGAGGTGGAGAAAGCTGGTTCAGGTGGCCAAAGATCAACAAGATCTGTAGAGCCAACAGAAAAAAAAATATATATATATTGTATTAGTATTAAATTTTGTTTTTTTATTACAATTTTTGTATTGTTTTAGTAAATTTTCTCTAGTTTAATGTGTGATTAATATCAATTTTAAAGAAAAAAATAACTGAATTATTTTATGTTATAGTTGGATCCAAGCAAAGTTTCAAGTACTAGTGGAGAAGGCGTTTTGGCAAACTTTTTCAATTCTCTCCTTCACAAGAAGCCTGGATCTGCTAGTACATCCCCCAGCTCTGTCAAGACCCCAGGTTCCCCAGGTATTTTTTTATAATTTTCAGGAGTTTGTAATAAAGGAAAAAAAATTATTTCCATTTTACTTTCACTTACCTATATATGTAATATATAGTGAGGGAAAGTATTGCTATCGTGAAAATTTTCGAATCTTAGTTTTTGACGGAAATACATGTCTGGAATCTACTTACTCACTGTCTGTACAGATATAACTTTTTCAACTAGAAATATCATTAAAATGATATTACTTAAAAATGTTGAAATTGGAGTTAGTCATTTGGAGTTAGTTAGTCAATTGGAGTCTGTCAACTGAAAGGCACACACAGATTAGAGACTGAAGTTATGTGCTCTTTGAAAGCAGATGGAGTAACTAGATTTTTATTGTCTACCGTTGATATAATAAATAGAGTTTTTGTAATTTCAATGGTCTTAATGATCTGTTATCTGTAAGCTTTAAGCTTTAGCTCCGTTCAAAATGCAATTCAACAATTTCATAATAGCCCAACATTGCCAGAAAATAATTTCTATTCAAAGTAGAGCGGTTAGTGAAAGTTGTGTGTTGCGCACACTAGATTTTTTACTCCTGTCCTTGAGTTATAGACACCTAGTCCTTGAGTTTCTAGAAACATGTACAATTTCATGTATCTATTATCTATTACAGCTTAAGGCATCCAAATTATCATCTCGTTCCATTTAACATCAATTATTTTTCTTTTCACCTGCTCAGTGCACTAATAATGCAGAACATTGCACTTCTTTCCCATTTAAAGAAATATCACCTTCGGTACTCATCTAGGTTTACTGTGTAGTTAGATATATCTTAATTGTGGGAGCAATTGAAGATGCTCAGAAAAGGTAGCTTTTTTTTACCATTCGCTCAGTATCCACTCTCCTTAAACATCTAAAATTACAAAATCAAAAGAAATAACCTGGTGTGTTGATTCACAGGACTTTCCCACCGAATTCAGACAAATCCATACAACTTTAAATATGTCTATTAAAAAAATAAAAATAAATAAAATAGAATAACAGTAATTTTCCTGAAAACTGGTCAGAGAAATGATAACAATACAATATTTTTGATAAAATAAAGTAATGTGAACGGGAACGTGAACTATCATTAAAATAAGCTTAAAAAATTCAATACACTATAACTATAACTTAGCTAAAACTGGTCCGATTATTTTGGTTTATTATTTTCAATAATCAACCTTTGTAGTTGACCTAGAAAAAAAAAGTTAACCTATGAATAAAGTTTTTTTTCCGATTCAGGTGGCTCTGAAATATAAAGATCTGTTGAAAACCGCACATCGGAAATTTGACCCGATCGCAATACTTTTATAGTGGTTTTACATTTTATATTTGGATTGATCTCTGTGATTAGACACTAGAGACAGCGTACAGCGGGGTACACTATGATCCGAGGGAGCATCGGTTGGAAGCCGTTCCTAGCGACGAAGCCTTAACCAGCCTCCAACATAACTTCCTGGACCAGGTAAGACCAAGGAGTATGCGGGCACACAACCGGCGCCCACGGAAAGGACAAACTCTACTACCATAACTTCCGTCCACTCGTCCACACACTATACCAGAAGACTAGCCTGAACAACGTCAAGACTAGCTGAACACTGGTTTCGTGCAGCGAGTGGTCGTAAACACAACGACCACTATGACCGCCATGGCCGAACAGTGCAAGCACTCTCGCCGTCCACCCATAGCGCCGCCAGGGCTCCGGCAACGCCCTGTAGTACCAATTCGGTCGGAAGCACTGCTTCCCTGACCTCAGAGCACGATTGGTCTCTGGCTCCGCAATCTTACAATCGCTACGGCTTTACATTGACTGCCGATGCACAGGAGGATGCCTGCACCTCCGCAGTCAATGAGGGACACGACTCAAACCTAAGGGTTCGAGACGATGACCGTCCCTGTAGACACTAGAGACAGAGAAAAAATAGAGTGAGTTAAATCAGTGGAGTGAATTTAGTTATCTTGTCGTAGTTGGGTAAAACATTTAATTGTGGAGACTTTACCGCTTTGACTGTATCGCGTGAGTCACGTGAAGGGCATATATGATGCTAAAGTTATTTTTAAACTTGTTCTATGAGTAGCCTACTGTGGCCTTGTTTTTGCCCAAAGAGGTTGGGCACAAGAACATCAGCCAACGAGATATTATCACTGAAGTTTAAAATTTATGTAAATAATTATTTTTATTTTTTTTTAGAAGAATTTTATTTGTGAAGAAAAACTTTATTTGTTTATGCAAACATCGGAATAAAGATGGTGTTTTTTTTTAGTTTGGGAACTTTTAATTTTTGTTTATTTATTAACCAATAACCCAACGCTTTCCTTGCCTAGTAGCGGTAGGAAAGTAATAATTTATATTAAAAGATGTGTAGAAAATAGAATATGCCTTATCATCACTAATACCTGTTCGATTCTGATGATTATTTTTTTTTTTTATTTTGTTGGTAATTTAATTACTTTTTAAAAGTTCTATGTAAATTTTACCATAGAATGTATACTTTCCGAGTTAGGTCCCAAATCATTTTTGTTTTCTATATAACTTTTTTTCCTGAATTTTCTTGGGAAGCTACTCTATGTCCTAAAATTGAAAGGACGTGAAGTAAATAATTATACGAAAGTTTCATCAAAATCATTAGAGCCATTTTTGCCTCCCAAAAAAAGAAGCAACAAAAGTGTGTGGACAGCAATTGGTATTATCGGCATCAAACCTTCGGGTTCGCTAAACCTTTTATTATTATAATTTTCCATTTGTTATTTTCAATTAACTTTTACTCTTTTTGTTAACTAGGTATTGATACTGCAGTTGGTGTAGAAAAAGCAGTTACGCAATCTGATGCTGCTGCTGAACTCGAGAGGCTCGACAAAATTGGGAGGATATCAAGGGCTAAACCTGGCGGTAGCCCTTCCTTTAATATTAAGTAATACAGAGTAACGGATGTTAAAATTTTATAATTTTTTTTAACTAAATCATAACTATGTTATTTTTGTTTTTTTACGAGACATAATAGGTATTTATATATTTTCTTTTTTTATTAATACTTTAAATGCTTCATTACTTATTTTGGAATAAATAAATGTATTATATAGATAATTTAAACACTTTTTTTCTAATTAATTATAGTATTATTTATTTCAATGTATTTAAAATAAATTTAAATATTTGTTTATTTTAAGTTTTATTTATTTATTATCCACACTTGGCTATTGAACTATTTTATGCCATCTCTTTTTATGTGAGAATGTTGATTAAAATATATGAATTTTTTTTTTATTCTCCCCTTCCTCGCCTTTTAGGCTATACGGAGATTTTCCCGGTCCAGAGATTAATACCAGAGAAAAAAAAAAAACCAAGCACCTGAATACATTAGTTATCACGTTGCCAGGCAACCCACGCTGTTGTGCACACTCGTTAACCTGCTTAGCCACCCCGCCCTTGAATTTTTGAGAGAGAGAGAGAGATCGACGAGAGATGAGTAGAGAGAGAGAGAGAGAGAGATGAGAGAGAGAGATGAGAGAGAGATGAGAGTTAGAGAGAGAGAGAGAGATGAGAGAGAGAGAGAGATGAGAGAGAGAGAGAGAGAGAGAGATAGAGAGAGAGATAGAGATGAGAGAGATAGAGAGAGAGAGAGGGGGGGGAGTAGGGGAGGGTGAGAGGGAGAGGGAGAGGGAGAGGGAGAGGGAGAGGGAGAGGGAGAGGGAGAGAGAGAGAGAGAGAGAGAGAGAGAGAGAGAGAGAGAGAGAGAGAGAGAGAGAGAGAGAGAGAGAGAGAGAGCAGCCTTGCAAGGGGCTTAAGGCACTTGCAATAGATAATCAAAGTTAAGCAATGCCGAGCATGGCTTCGATGGGTGACCGTCCACCAAGGAAAGCCACACTGGCCGAGACCTCCTCCCCTGGTATGTGAGGCCCGTCAGCCTACTGGAGGCAACTCACACTTTTTAGTAGCTATAAATGTATTATAATTTAACAAATAGAATATATTGTTATTATTTAAGTATATAGATTAAATTACTCAGAGTAACAAATATGGACCAATGAAAAAAAACATTTATTTTTCTATTTTGGGGGATTTTTGCCCGAGATAGCCTTCCCTCCTCCCTCCCCTGTACATCTACCAGTGACCTGAAGGGAAGGAAATCTTCAAAATGATGGTTCAATTTGATGTGATAAAGATATGGCAAAAAAAAGTGAGAAATTATATATATCGACAGACTTCTCGTCTCTCATTCATTGGAATTTCAATGACGATATGCGGTGGCATTCAAACCTTTTATCTTGCATTACCTTGAAAACGGTTCATTTTTTTACTTTAAAGCGTAGGTTCCGAAGGAATTTTAGGGTCAGAATTGATAATTGTTACTTCTCCATGGAATTTATTTTTTCTTTTGATATCTTTTTGTCAAAATCCATTGACACGTGTTTCCCATATTCCTCCACACTAATACAAGTATGATTGAAATATTTATGTCAGTACATTTGCATCATATATAATTTTATTTTTCATTAGTATAGCATCTACTTCTTCTATTAACAACAAAGGTTAATCCGTGTGAGAAATAAAAACCTGCACCATGTTTATATGTATATATATATAAACTTTTAGTATATTTATTATTGTTATACAAGTTGCTTAATATGTATTAAACATCTCTCACATCTGATCAATTTTTAGGATAGAACAGTAAAAATAATAGCAATTGAATTGATGTTATTTATTTAATAAAAGTACATAACATATATTTAGTTTCCCTTATACTTAACTTAATTCAGTCCTTATGAAATAACCGTATCCATAAATTTAAATATATATCTGTAGTAACTAAAGTACACAATGAATGGATCTCTATATATACTTAAACTGTTTCTAAAGAATAAAATATTATGGAGAAGTTAAAACCTACAATAAAAAATAAATAAAGTCAGAATTTGTTCAGAACTGCAATATGAGATTAATAATCACCCTAAAATATTCGATAACCAGCATTTTTCCCTCAGGATATTTTATACATTTATACATATCTATATCTACAAAGAAATTATTTAAGTATATACAACATATCATAAAATTATTCAAAAAATCACAAAATAATATTACCTAACAATTAATCAATAAGGAATCGCCTGTCAAATTACTGAGATAAAATTTGACACTTGATTTAAATACTGACATTAAATTTCTTACTGTTGGAAATCAATAAATTTGTCTAATAGTGAAATATAAGAAGGCAATTAATTAAGCATTGTATGACGATCATAAATATTTTTACGTTGTTCTCGAACTTGTCTTTTCCACTTGTCTTGTTGATGCCCTACTCTGTTAAGAACGTTTCCCCTAACACCCATTTGATGTGAACCGCTTGGAGCAGCAGGGCCGACGCTAGCCGTATCATCCTATAAACAAGTATTAATGTAACACATTAGTGCTGAAGAGATTGGTAGAAAATAGTATCTACAAGTAGCAAATAGATGTATATATGTTAATAAAATAATCACTGCAACCAAAATAATTCTCCTTTATTCTTTTTATTTACTTTTTTTCAAGTAAGTTATTTTACAGAGTTACTTACTTCTTCATTGGTATGCTCCACATAGCTACTTTTTGCACGTTTATTTAGGAGCGGGTCAAGGCATAGCAAGAAAAACATATAGATTACCAGCAAAGAGATTATCCAAATAACAATCGCCACAACTACCTGAAAACATTTGAGAACAACAAAATACAGAATAATACAACATAATAATAACTAATGAAAAATATTATTCAACATTAGAATTTACACACTTTGATTATAGTTGTTTTTCTACTTTCATACTTGCACTCACAACGAGGACATAGCTCCTTGTTATCAGCTTTATCATCGATTGCAGGTAAAATCACTGCATCACAATCACTAAAACATATATTTAGTCAAATTTGTTTACATAATTAACAAATAAAATATATTAAAAGCATCTAAGATCAGATAGATAGTGCCATGGTGGCCACAGCAGCATTATAAAGTCAGATGTAGCACTGGTTCAAATGTATTGGTGAACTGAATTTTTTTTTTTGGAAGAATCAACCAATAAATCTTGATCTTTTCATTTTGACTAAACAAATCGGTTTAGAAGATAGAAGATAGAAAAATAACTTTATTCTGGGACACAGTCCCTTGAGAATAACAAAATTAAAATATTACATCTGGCCAAAATAAAATAAATCGAAAAAAAGAAATAATGTAAAAAAAATATAAGGTAAAAATTCTATATACAAAACAAACTAAACTATATACAAAACCATTAATACTATGACAAGAAACTTAAAGCTATTTGCTCTTATAGACCAGTATACACTTTTCCGAAAAAAATAAAGAATTAAAAAATACAAATATATCAAATTCTCTATTAAAATCCGCTCGAATGGTTAGCAAGTATCTGACTGTTTTTGTGATAGGAATTGGAATAGGAGGGATTTGAATGTGGATATGGAGGGGGAATGTCGAATTTTGATAGGGAAGGAATTCCAGAAATTGACAGAGCGAACAATAAAGGAATTTTGGAATGAGGCAGATCTGTGAGAAGGCATGTTAAGGTCAGAAGGTCGAGATCTTGTGGACAGGGAATGGACTGAGGATTTGAACTGGAGAAGGTTGTAGGAGTAAGAAGGAACGATGGTATTGTTTTAGATTGTGATTGTTGAGCAAATTGGAGTGAGAGTCTCAGAATGTTTTATTCTTAGCTGGGTCAGTTAATATTTACTTCTCAGTTATTATTAGAAATGAATCTAGAGACCCACTCTAGTTATTACTGGATGGCAGTTAGGGTAGCCTTAAGAGATTTAAAAAAAAAAAAAACTTTTCTGAGGCTAGTTTATTCCCACCTGTGCTGGTACCAGTAACATAAGTCGGTAAGGACTAAGTAATTTACCCTTTTGGAAATAAAGAAGAAGCTACCAGTTATCTAGTAACATCTTTGAGTAATAATACTAAGCAAATCCGTAGGTACAAAGCTGATACCCACAATGATTAATGACCACAAACTTACTTAGGCCAGAACCCAAATCTATAAGCCAAGATAGATCTAAAACCTATGCCAAGATCAGCAGTAATTTGCTTCAAATCTGTCTCAGCCTATCCATAGGCATTTATCCATCAGTTTATTTACAATCACATTTTCAGTAAATTGTTTCACAACCAGAAAACAGTTTTTATAAGGACATTTATCCTCCATAATGCTAACGCTATATTGGCTGCTTTCATGAATTTTCAATTTTTATTTGTCTGTGAAGTTTTTAAGAGCGTTTCTAGAGATACAACCAAACCTATTTTAACCAGAGTAAGAAGGTTGAAATTCATTCCATGGATCCATCATGAAATGAATTTCAACCGTCCAAGCCAGATTTGAGCCGGCATCACTAGACTCGAGAATGTTAAAATTTATGTTTTAATACCCTCGACCACCACAATATAATTTAAATAAAGTATAGCCATGAACATGTCACAATCAGGCATTGACAGGATTCCGTTTTTAGTGTGATCATGAGATCTTGTTCCACTAATTTAAGTGCAGCTACACTTGCTAATTGGTAATTGTTCATAAGGGGATCAGTGGCCTCCAATAACTTTAGGACACATTTGGTCATTTTTAGAATAGCAACCTACAGTTCATATGATCTTATGCCCAGCCATCAAGTTGGAGTGTCAGATCCTTTGCTGTGATCGACCAATGATTTTCACCATTCTGCTATTGATGTATGATATCGAAGTTGCCTTTCATCATTAACAACAGATAGATTTATACAATATGGAACTACTGCAGAATATTAATGTAGATTGGAATGAAAGCTGCACTGTTCTGAATCAGGTAGTAATTGACACTAACTTGGCTGGTACACTAACACGCTTGGCGATCACAACCAATTCCATAAGTTAAATACATGTTTATTTTGGAAAAAAAAACAATGATCACGACTAGTCTAGTACGCAATTAAAAGAGTAATAATAAACTAATACACAAGCAAACTTAATAACAATATAACAATTTAAAACTTCTCACTTGTTTTCAGGAACGTTTGTAATTTTAAAAGTCTTGTACAGTTGAGTGCCATTTCTGATGGTGCAAGTACATAAACATCTTGCATCTTCATAAGATTGAGCCTTTAAATAACAGAATTCCAAATAATAAACAATTAAAATGTATATAAATCTCTAATGTAAATAGAAGTGCCTAATGACAGACCTGAATGCCAAAGATTTGAAGTAATACAATAATACTTCCAAATATGATTACAGAATTCATCTTCAGGTATTAGCATTCATTTAATAAATAAATAAGGAGGTCATTAAACGACAGGTATTCAAAATTACTGCTTACTATTATGAAAACATAATATCAGCTGATTACAATTCTATCCAAGTAGGTAGTAAGGTTATATAAGATTGGTACAGTGGCGCTATCTTCAACTAAAACCATTTTCTTTTTATATGTAGTGTTATTTTATACTTAGTGTTGAACGCTCAGGATTTAAAAAGTCTCTTGGGGCTCTGTACATTTGGTTTCGCGTTGTATTTTTAAACTAATTTGTTATTCTTTCATTTGAAGCTTCGGGAGATTACCTAATTTTAACTTTCTGTACCCTGTTTTTAACTTGTATACATTTTTACTGTAAAAACCTTTTTAAAATGGAAAATACTGAATGTATGAATTTAGAGGAAGGTGATCATGCTCAGCTAGAAGATAAATCAAATTCCAAAAAACCATTTAGTTTTACTGTTGTTCCATTCACCATTGAACCACATCTTGAATTTATTGATTTCTCAAAAGGTAACTATTTTCAAAAAAGATTGTGTCGACTGAGCCTGGTGTTTATCACTAATTGTGTTTGCTTCTTATAGAGGGACATCTTCTGCTGGGCTCCTCAAATTTAGTCGGAAAAATTTGGAGTGGTAGTGTATGGTTTTTTGACTCAGGAGATGTTACACCTTTGGAGAAAGAAAGTCTTAGTGGCCATGGTTGTGAATCATGTGTTGCCACTGGAAAATTTCTGGATAATTGGGATAAAGTGATTTACTTTTCTTTTCTACTTTATTATCTTAAGAGAACTTTTGTTAACAATTGTTTTGTGTTAAAAGATTATCTTTGGAGAAGATTCTGGCAAAGTGACAATATGTTCAATTGCTAAATTTGAGGATGATACGACTCACTTTTTACCACAACATGGTGAAACGCAGCATGATGGTTGTATAACTTCCATTGCTGTTCTTAAGGATAAGCTATACTCAGTTTCAGCAGGCAGTGATATGAAGTAATACTATTTAATATTCTACATTATTCTGAAAACGTTTTCTTTCTTTTTTTTATATTTATTAATTTTATTATTCAATGTACATCTTTATAGTAAATCATGTCTGATTATTATTCCAATGTTTTAATTTAAAATAACAAATTCTGTTTCTGAAATACTTATACTGTTTCTTTACATTACAAGCAAGGTAGGTACTAAATTTGTTGTTTAGTTTGATTTCATTAATATTCAAGGCTTCGTATGATTATGGAAATTCAATTTAATACATTTATTCTTGTTAAGTAACGGCCTGATGAGATACATGAAATACCAAAAACTTGAAAGCTAATTGAAAATTAATAGATTTCATTTATATATACTTCTATTTCCAATTAAATTAAACCATGAAGCGATTACAGTAACATTAAACTAGATTTTTTCAACAATAAACTAAAATGCAAATTCCTTTCTCTGGTAGTTTCAAATCTTGTATCTACAACAGTATTTAGGATTATGTCATGTTACTTTTTACTGCCAATGAACCAATAAAATTTTTCTGTTTTAGTTCTTACTTTTTTCCAACTAGAATCGGGGATTCAATTAACTTTAGTCAAATCTATAGCTATTAACTTTCTTCCCTCAAAAGAAATAAACAACCCCCACGTGTCCTTTTCAGTTGAGATCGGGGCCTTACCAGAGTATTTGGCTCTTGTACTTTCGGATATGCTTGCCACTTTTGGACTTCCATCAACACTGTTATCATAAGATCTGGCTCCATGGTGAAGCAACGCTTGGAAGTAGTAGCCAAAAAAATTATCATTTCAATTCTCTTTTTATAACTATGTACCTTTGGAAATCAGTGTACTGCAGGGACACAAGTTGCAACAACCAGAAAGTTGCATGGAATAATTATTTACATAAATTGGAAAATTAAAAGTAGGTATACGTATAAATTTTTGTTTTTAAGGATTAACGTTTGGGACAATAACAGCTTAGAAATCCAGCACAAGTATTCACCAGCCCATTCTATGGAAATAACCTGTGTTTGTTCATCCCCTGAAGAAGGTGCTATATTTTCATCTTGCAGTTTGGATGGATCAGCTTTACTGTGGGATTTAAAACAGTCTAAACCAGCTTCTGGTTAGATTAGTTTATTAATACACCTTTATTTGAAACAGTTGAAGATATTAATTTTAATTTAAATAATTTATTTTAGCCATTTCACATCATGAATTTGGGTTAACATCTATAGCATGGAAAGATGATAATACTGTAGTTGCTGGATCTATAGCTGGAGAGGTTATATATTTTGATATCCGAAACAGAAAAGAAATCAACAGGCTTCAGTTTGATAAACATCCAGTTCACAGAGTTTCTATCAACTGTGATCAAGGGTGAGTTTTTGTTTTGTATTTGACAACTTTAGACTCAATATGTTGTATTGTTCCTGTGCTACTGACAGTTAATTTGACTCTGCTATTCTTAAAAGAATTGGTCGTGTCCTCTAGACAGATCTCATAATACTGATCCACTTTACCACAATAATTATTGCATATTAGTGAAATATATATTGTTTTTTATCAATGAAAAAATTAAATTAAACTCGGTATTCCCCACTTGCACATTAAATATAGCTGCAGGGTGTCTATTATAAATTTTCTATTGGAATTTCCCAAGTTTTCCTTCTCATTGATGGACAAATTAAAGGTCATCATAATAGTTGTAATTGTACATAATCTTCATTAATAACCATTTTACAAAATTGGCACATTACTTAACATTTGAAATATTTTAATTCACATTATTGAAGGTGACTGATGCTTGTGTCTTACAAAATAGCTCCTAGTCTTCTTGATTGGGGGTTTGGCACAGGGCCATTAACGCTATCCTATAAGAAATAACAGGATAGAGATGTCTGCAAAAGGTTACCAACCATTCTTATGAAGAGGAAGTGATTTGTGAACGCGTCTGGTTATTATAAACCACGTGCTCTCTGGATATCTATATAAGAGAACCAAATGATCACAGCTGTCGCCTAGAACAGCCCTGTAGAAGACTAATGGCGTAAGTCAAGAGGCATTAGGGAAAAAAAACATTGAAGGTTTTTTAAAAATGTAAATTTCTATGACATACGAGTTTGAAAGAAACCTAAGAACAAATAAACAGCCTGTCTTTGGCATAAAAATAAAAATATCAAAACTGTCTCTTCGAAACTATAAACAGTAGAAACATTATCTGTAATACTGTCTTTTAAATCTCCTTAAAAAGCTAAAAATCCTTTTGTTTGGTATACAAATATTTAAAAAAAAATCTGGTGCACGCAACACACAACTTTCACGTACTGCTCTACTTTGAATAGAAATTATTTTTTGGCAATGTTGGGCTGTTATAAAAATTTTTGAAGTGCTTTTTTAATAGAGCTACAGCTTAAAGCTTACTGGTAACATAAAGCCCTATTAATTATATGAATGGTAGGCAATAAAAACCTTTTTACTCCATCTTTTTCTGTAAACCACATAATTCCAGTCTCTGAGCTATATGTATATATGCCTAGAGAGATTTGAAAGTATATCTGTATATTTAACCTATAAATGATTATGGATTGTACACATATTAATTATTAAACTCATTTTCCATTGTAAAGTTCACTACAGTAAAATTACGAGATTTTCATTGCCCGCCATAGATAGGTCAAAATTTGTCACAATTAATTTGATTTAGTTGTAAGTGGATAATGTTGGAATTTCACAATAGGAAAATTCATCTAATTTAATGTTCTAAAAGGTTACATGACGGTTTTTCAGAATAAACAGACATTGATACTTAATTATTTAAATATAATATCAGATCTAGGATTATTAAACTACAGTAAATATATTTAAGGTTATAAACATGTGCTTTATACATCCATGAATTATTTTTATATTTCACTTCTTTCACGCAAGTACAATGAATTTTTTTTTAAACAATATCATTGCCTTGACTCCGTGGATTTTAAATACTTTTTTAAACTAAAAAATTTTAAAAGTTTACTCTTGGTAAATTTCATTTAATTTCCTTGAAAACATGTGATTTCCTTCTGTTCATTTTTCCTACTTTTGGTGTCTTGAAGTTTTTAATTTAATGTGCACTTGCTCTCAGTAATTGAGTTGGGGTACGGAGACCGCAATCGTACGCTCACTGTCATTGAGTAGGGACTGAATGAGAGCATCAGAGCTCATACTCAGTCGGCCATACTCTTGTGGATGAGAACATGACTTTTCTATTACTACTTTAAGAAATCTGTAAACAGATTTATTTTAATTGTTACAGTAGTTCAGCTATAGAACATTTACTTATGTTATCTATGGAACTGATGTAGATTGATAGAATGAAAAAACAATGGAATATCGACTAGGCTGATGATGTTAATTCCTCGATCTGACATTGATAAGTTAAGGTTGGCTCATTACTCAAAACATACATAAGAATAATTACGTTTTATAACAAAGCTGCCTTTCTAGTTTTGATAACTTAAAATTTATTGCAAGAACAAATGGTATATGGTTAAAAATATAAATACTGCCACATCCTAATCAAACAGGTCTATCTTATGTCTTTCCAAGTAATGTTGGGCCATTATTTTATTTATTATTGAATTTATGGGAAACAAGGCGTTGTAACTCTACTAAATGGAAGAATTTTTAATTTTGATATTCATTGATCTGTAGTAGATAGAATATAGAAAACCAAAAGATCCTTTTTTCTTTTTTACACGTTTTCTCAAATTTTCATGTAACTTCTGTAGGGCCTGGAAAAGCGAAGGAATTTCACACGTTATGAGGATGTGAGCACAAATTTGCTATTATGGTTCCGAATCATTATTTCAACAAAAGTTTATTAACCTTTTAGTGATGATGAGCGGGAAGGGTGGAGCATCCTCGAGGACGGAATACTTTTCATCACCTCTACTGACCACTTACGCGTTTTAATTGGAGGTTTCATTAAAAACTGCCTATAATCTCCAGTCATAGAACAATTACCTACTGCCTCATGAGATGGATTAAAGTAGAATTCATCACTGAGTACCACTTTGTTTAATGAGAAGGAGCCCGACTAATATATGAGACCAATGAATCCCTGGAAATAATAGCCAGAAAGTATACGCATAATATATCGTTGGAAAGCAAAGAATTTTAGAAAGAACAATATCTAATATAGGAAGGCGTAAAACGTAATAGAGAGTGACAAAAAATTATAAATAATAATTTGTAAAAACTAATATTATTTAACGGAAATCACATTTTTTTTTTTTATTTGTAACAATAAATTAGGCCATTTTCAAAACTGGAAAATTATAATAACATTATTAGTTAATATTCAGCATTTATGAAATGAATTTCTTATTACATTTAATTGAATTGTCTAACGTTCTATGTCAAATTATTTCCGATATACTTAAATTTATATAAAAATATACATAAAGTATACATTTTTTATTAAAAAAAACCTTACATGTACGTAACTATAACCATTAAAACTCTAACAATTAAAAACAAATGACTATTACCTTGATGAGTCCTCCTAATATGTTCATCCTTAATGTTCTAATTAATAAGTTCAGTGAACATTAACTTGTCAATTTTTATAGGGGCTTCGCCCACGTCATTTCTGGGGGGACTGACTTATATCGTCCTGGTGGGGATAGTCAAAAGGAGAGGGATTTTCCTTCTAATGATTTGTATTGGTGGATTATTATATTATTATATACGAATTTTATTAATTATATTTGTGTAAAAAGTATTTATATTGTCCACATCTGTATGGTTTTAACAGAATTATGTAAATTTTTTGTAATATATATAGACTCTATAATCTTTCTTTTATTGTTACTACTTTCATTGTATATTATTTTGGCATTTTTAAAATCAAATTGGTGTTTGTTATATGTTGTGAAAGGCCGGTTGAAGTGTTTGATTTGGACTTGCGATTTTGTTCATGTTGTTTCATTCGTTTTACGAACCATTGTCCCGTTTGTCCTATATAAGATTTATTAGTGCAATTTTTACATTTTATTGTATAAATAAGGTTATTTTTCATGTCACATGGTATAATATCTTTGGTATTGGTATACAATTTTTCAATTTTATTTACAGGCTTTTTACCTAATTTAATTTCAGATAGATCATAATCCTTGAACGTCCTTTGAATTTTACTAATGAGATCTTTAATATAAGTAATTGAATGATATTTAATGTTACAATGTTCAATTTTATTTTCTAATTGTATGGTACTAAGTAACTTTTGTTTTTCAAGGTTATTAGATATTTCCGAATTATTATTTTTAAAATAATTTGTGATTAGATTCGGTTTTTTGTTTAGAATTTATGTTACTATAACTTGAAAAGCTAAATTATTGCTCTTCAAAATCATATTTATTACTTTTTGATTTAATAGCTCCATAAGGGATAAATAAATAAATAAAAACTCCTCGTTTTTATTTTATATCTCCAGTTCTTATATTTTGCCCTAAATACCTGTTAATATCTGTGAGAAAGCACATTGAAATTACCACACTTTTTGTGAAGTGTACAAAAAAAGCCTTGCCTATCGTTAATTTTTTTTTGTCCTAAACCCAATAAATTTGTATTATAGTTGTCAACAGTTCATAATGTTACACTTAACAAATGGAGTGGTTGAGCTTATACTTTAAGTAATTAGGTTATTCCCTGCTTCAAAGGAATCATATAGATTATCAGTTTTGTAATTAATTAATATCTCAAACATTATTGGAGAAAAATTAAGTTATTGTAGGGACTAGTCAAGCATTTATTTTATGAAAAGGAAGATAGAAATGATCAATATAACATATAAAAATATTTTTATACAGAATATCTAGACAATTTTTTAAAGCTTATTTAATTTATGCCCTCCAGGGTAAAGTATTAAAATTTCATAATAATTTAAATTTTGGGATATGCCACACATCAGTGCTGGGTAATGTTTAATTAGTGTAAGTGTCATTCTTGGGTTTACCAGATTTTCTATAATTATGAATAAGATTTTTTTTTGTCTTCTATCAAACATTTTCTGAATCCTTTTCTTATCACTCCATTTTGTTCAAAATAGAAGTATAGTTCACTCACATTTTTTTTTTTCATCCTCCCCTAAAACTCCAATATTACTTACTATAAGTAATGTCAGAGAGTTAGGGCAAAACAAAATATTAGTTTCAACCTTGTGCTGGCTGCATTAATTCATCTGGTTGCTGACTAATTGCAACCAAACTATAATTTACTTAAAACAAAACATTATGATGACCTTCCCTAAACACAGATGAAAATAGCTCATTTTAACAGAATCCTCCTCTACATCAGACCATGTTAAAATCAAGTGTGCTAATGGCAGCCATATTTAACAAGTTTTTTAAATCACAATGCTGAGTTTTACATACATAACACTGAATAAATATACTTTCCTATAAATATGAGTGAATAGCTTTTAGGTAGTTAATTAATATCATAGCATTAGAGATTATATTTTCACTTTGTAGTTTTTAATTTAGCCAGTTCAGTTGTATCACTCTTCTAAACACGGTTCATGTTGAGTTTAACTTTATGTATTTATATAATTTTTTTTAAAAATGTTTAAATTATTTCAGACTTCTGGCAGTATGTGGAAACTCTAATGTAATAAAAGTTTGGGATGTGAACACCTTGGAGTTAGTGTAAGTAATGTTAAGCTACGAACAATGTATAACTTACCTTTCATATCTAGGATATGAATAAAAGCTATTTTTGCCCACAGGTATACAGATATCGAGCATAGAGGATTTGTAAGAGATTTGTCATGGAATCCAGTAAACAACAAGCTCTATTCATGTGGATTTGATAAGCGAATATTTTCACATATAGTTCCTTCATTGGCAGAGAAGGACATGTTAATGTAAATAAGTGTAGTTTATAAAACCTTAAATAAGAAATGTAAAAATATTTATATATATAATTCAAGGCCTCATAGTATTATTTGATTCATGACTTATATAGCATACTGTAATATACAATTATGTTTGGAATGTTTCCTGTGGGAAATCCAAAGAAAGTTATACAAATTAAAGTATAGGAATTACTTTATAAATTTTTATACATGTGTGAATAATAATAAATTATCTTTTCCAACAATATTTATTCTATCAACACAACCACACTCCGCATTATAATTTAACCGAATAACAAATTTTACACTGCATTAATTGGATTAGCTGAGCATTGCATAATGTATGCATGCTGCTCTTTATCAAAATGAAAATAAAGAATTCATATTTAAATAATATCAGTCTCTATGAATTTACCCAACATGCTTAGAATTAAGTTTGGAAGTCATTTGGTTCTTGAATAGTAATCTAGATATACATATATAATTATGTACCGGTTCTGTTTTTATCTAAGCTTATAACTGTTAATGTCTTTTTAAGAAACATAGATCAGTCAAGACTGAAAGGCAATTGAGTTTCATTTATTTATTAGGAATAAATTCTCTTCAAAGACGGATTTACCACTGGACAAACTCAGTTCCTTCATTTCTTTATTTTCTTCTCTGAAGAAATATTGATGTTATCATTTCTAACAACACTGTTTCCCGTTAAAAATTATAATGAAAGAGGATTCCTCATTTTTTGGAAGGGAATGTGTTCTGTTGAAATATTTTTTTATCCTATTATATACACATGTTTAGCGACCCATTCCAAATTCTCTATCGTCGTCATCTCTTATGTCACCATACTGCCAAATTCCTAAATGTTTCTTTTTGGCTTCATCCTCAGCCGCCAGATAATCACTCATCTGTAAATATAAAAAAAAAAAAAAAATTAGAAGTAGAAACATTTACAATTTACAAAGTTTTATGAACATACATGATTTGACATCACTGCTATTTGGACAAGAGTGCTTAACCATAATTTTTGTGAAAACAATTTTTTTATGTCCTTTAATAGACCTAAAATTGCTCTCATTTTTTCTTCTTCATTGCTCCTATGTTTAATATGGATGGGCATAATTAAGAATTAGGCCATTGGTACAAATAATAGGGCAAAATTGTTTGGTCTACTGAAGGAGATAAGACTAGAACGTCTCCTATTTGCATTAATGGAGAGAACTTACAGATTAATTAAAATACACCCATTTAAAATAAAATATTTTTTTAGAAACCTTAGAGAAAATTTCAGTTTCATTAAAAATTGTCCCTGTCTTCTAAACAATAATGTTTAGCCGCCCTGTTAACTAGTAAACCACAAAACAACTAATAAACTAATCTATTCCATGGAATAGATAATTATGATGATAAATGAAAAGGAGAGGAATTGAGTTCATCAGAAAATATTAAATAATACAAATGACAGCACTTACAAAAACCGCACATGTATTATAATTTTTTTGGTCCATATTTTTATTAAATACGTAATATGTATATGTATGAAAGCTTATTCTAACTTTCGGTCCAGAGGTTTTCTATTACGATCCTTTTTCCTCAACATTTTTCTCCTTTACTTAATAAAATTCTTTCATATTTTATACTTAACCATTTTTTATGTCAGGTTAAAATGAGAAATGGTTAATTATTACAAATAAAAATAATTAAAGGTACTTTAGAGGAAAAAAATAACCACCCCTAACCAATAAGAATAAAATCTAGATCATATTAAAATCAACATAATTTTATAGTGATATAATGAACTTCATCAATATCATTAGAGCCATTTTCGAGAAAATTGTAAAAATGTGTAAAATTTATGATATTACGTGGCACTTCCAGGCTGACTTTGGCAAAAAAATTACTATACATCCCAGACATAAACAAACCTTAAATATACAATTTTAGTTTTGTAAGACTTTCTGCTATTGAGCTAGACTATTCACATACCATTTTGCAAGACTTGGTTATTTACTTAGAGTATCTCAACTTGTATTTCCGCTAAAAACTTGGATTTGAACATTTTCACCATGCAATACTTTCCCTAACTATATATTTCATATATATGTACGTGAAAGTAAAAACTGAAAGGTAATTCTAGGATAAAGTTTTTAAGATGAATTAACTATTTTAAGTTAATAATTATAAAACATCCAACAGTCATATTTTATTGCATCAGAAAAGTTTATGAATTTTTGCATTTTTATTGTTACGACCTAATTTTTACTGATGAATAAAAATTGAAAATTGAATCAAGTACCCAATTAATCAATCACCTGTGATAATATTGATCTTGACAATTAATTATTATTACTAATCTATCAATATTTATTTATATTACCAATATATCAATATTTTAAAGGGAGGAGATGGTCCGGGGTTGCGGTCATATTTATGACCGCAACCTCGGACCATCTCCTTCCTTTATAATATAACGGTCAACTATTAAATATTCAATATCAATATTTTTGATAAACTTACAAGCTTTTCAAATCTTCTTTCCCTGCGTTTAGAAACAAGTAAGAATCCATCTGCGACCAATGATTTTCCAATGTCCTGTTTGTCTTTATCTTTGTCCATTTCTGGGTCCAATAATGTCACGTGTCTAATTCCATTTTGTTCATATTCATAATTCATCAAGAGATTTCTGTCTAAGACACATAACCTAAACTCATTTTCTGCTGCTTTTTTATCCTCGGGCTGAAATAATTGTAAAAAAAAAAAAAATGTATGAAAGAGGAAAATCATTTATTTAAATCTAAACAACATACTATTGGAGAATATCTACCTCATTAGGAAGAGAGACGAAGGCCAGAGTGTAATGATGGGCATAAGGCTTGTCTGTGTTAATATCAAGACCAGGAGGAAGTGGTGCACATTGTGTCGTCTGCACTTCTGCCCTGTTGCCGTAATCGATGTAAAAGACGCTAGCCTTCCCTGAGCCAGTCACTTTTTCCACCTTTGCTCGGTACCACATGTTATCTAATGGATACTTGGCAGCACAAAGGTCACCTAAACAATAATAATGATGATGGACTCATTAGACTTAAGTATGATTCATGAATGAATGAAATGAAAATAATAATTTAATTCTAGGATTAAATAAAATACCTCGAGAATAATAACAAGATTCAGACATAATGAAAGTATTGTAAGATGTTAAAATAGTATTTTTCAATCACATGTTAGTAGTAATTGTTATTACAGAAACAAATAGGGCTTACATTAATGGAGTAGTTTGAATTTGAAGTAGATGTTGGAACAAGAGTTATTTAAAGACATTCATGGGTGAAGATTGACATATATAAATGAATAAACAATTCTATAAGGATTTTTTACAAAATACAATAAACTTGTTGAAAGAAGCAGTTTCGCAATATGGGATGTATAGATCAATTGGTTGAGATTTAGTATTTTGAGAGTGATAGAGTAGTAACCTTGATATTCAACTTGAGCCTCTGATAGATAAAAGACATGAAATGAAATAAAAATTGAAAAGTTGGTTTGCATAAATCACAAACTTCCTAATATGACTATTCATTAAATCCAGTGATATACAATTTAATCTGATCTTTTAAAATCTAAATTATATTAAAACAAAAATATTTTTATTACAAAAATTATACATTTAACGCTGAGGAAATTTAATCTGAATTAAAAAAAAAAAATCCATAAGATAATAGTAAAAATATAAAAAAACAGTCATTTTTAATATTATATTGACTAATTATAAACGGTATTATTCCAATTTCACAACAATAATCGCCAAATTAATTAATGCAGCGGTTGTAGTAAAGTTTTTTGAGGATGTAAGACGAACTGCCATCTAAAAGTATTATTAGGCCACTTTAATTTGGTCTATCAACAAGAAACACGAATCTTAAAGATAATCTTACGAAAAAATTCAATAAATTTCATCTCTAACCCAGTAGACAGCCCATACAAGTAGGTTACAAATATATTAGTGGTATATGAATATGATAGTAATATATAGAAAACAATAACAGGAAACTAGAACGTACTTATTATATGTATGAAATAGGCCTTTATAATGTTAATTGAATGTGGTGAAACAGTGAATATAGTAGCCAACAGCTAGTATATTTATTCAAGTCCATAAAATGAAATATAAAACTTTTCAATTTAGCAATGATAATTATAATACAAAACAGCAGACTCTCGATAATTCGAACTCTTCAGCTGTTAACTTTGATAAATAGAAAAAATTTTGTATTTTGATACACCCGATAACTCAAAATCCTTTTCGTAGGAGAGAAAGGAGGGGTAGAGAACATTCTATTAATTATTCAAACTAGACCCAACTTCTCCTGTTTATAATTTGAAATTTTCCAAGTAATATTTTTTACATGCGGCTATGTATATAGAAAATTTATATAAGCTCATATATATTTCCCAAAAATATAATAAAAACTATTAATAATTTGAATTTTTTTTCATTTCTCTTGATAATCCTAAGTTCTTAATAATTTGAAGTCCTGGTAATTTGAATTTTTCTTCTATTCCATTGGATTTGGAATTATCGAGAGTCGACTGTACCACTGCTGAGTAATTACTAACAATTTAATTTACCTTTTTTAGGAGAATAAGCTCCAGGTAGAGGAGGATTAGCTCCCATTTCTTGAGCCATTTTTGCTTGAAGTGAGTTTAATTTACTTCCCATTGAATCATATTGGACATAGAATCCAATTTCAGAAACTTCAACAACATACACCTCTTTATAGTCAGTTTTTCTGTCAACGGTTTTGTCTTCTTCTATAGTGTCAGGTTTTTCTTCCTTTTCTTCATATTTCTGAGGAAAATCAGAACAAAACAATACAAAAACACAATGAAAAAGGAAAGGAGTATCATTTTGAGACCTAATGTACGACTACATGTTAACAAATTGTTTGCTTTACTTAGCACAACTATCAATTTTATGCTGAATCATAGACGTCATGATAAGTTTTACGATTATTTATTGATAATAAATATTTTTATAAGCTGTTTCAGTATCAGTGTATGGTTTTAATTATTTATCCATAGTTAAAGATTTAAAAAGAAGAAAAAAAGAAGACAAGCTGAGTGATCAGCTCAAAATTCTACTAAAAATGAAGTTTCTTTTAACCTTAAAGAATATTAAAAATAAAAATAACATACCCAAACTCCATTTGCCTTGGCTGTATTTTTTGCATTGTAAAGATCCTTAGCATATCTTGAGTTTTCACCAGATGAGTGTATCCTGGCGAGACCAGCTTCTACCAGAGCAACTGACAAATTAACATTATCAACCCACAACCAACCAATGAAATTCCCATTTCTGTCAATACCTTCAACTTGAATTTCAACCTAGAAATAAATAAATCTTAGTATTATTTTCTTGAAATACATTAAATATATAATTCAAATAATCACTTAATTTATTTAATAAAAAGTAGTTAATTTTCAATAAAATCAAACCGAAATAATCTAACAATAATGAATAAAAATGCGAGAAGAATCCATTAATTCTAAAGGTTTTATGTCTGCTTTTATGATTAGTATAGACCAATAGTTATGAATGAATGAAATAAATACTTCAAGTTCAACTTTAATAATACATTTCAATTAGAGAAATGTTATAACTTATATTCCATGTATTGTATCTTTACAATTCTCTAATAGACTAATAATTTTTGGACCGAATATTTTAAGGAATTTAAGTAGTTGGTCAGGGGTGTGGGCAACAGACAGATACTACAGGTTAATGTTGTGTTTATTAGGTTAGCCTAGTGTTGTTTTATGATATACATGAAATCGTAGGTTAACCAAAAATAAACACAACATTAACAAATGGTATGTGTCTGCTGACCGCATCTCCGACGACCAACTTTTCCTTAAATATTAGAATTACGCTCAATTATTTCCATACCCTTTTGGGAATTTTTAAGACTTTTAAGCCATTGTTCTTCCTTGAAATAAGTGATTCCGTTTAGCACCAATGAAGTTCAAATATTTTTTATAAATTTTAACTTTTAAGTTTCTGAAAAAAAGGCACAAAATAAAAACATTCACCCTCAAAACTAAGTAACTAAAGATCGAATAAAAAATTTCTAACGATATAAACAATATACAAAAGATGAAATGATGATATAAAATGATAAATTAAATATAAAAAGATTGCATCTACCTCTCTTTGCATACACCTTTCCCTGGTGAATTGTAATGCAGCCTCTTCAGTATTAACTGCAGCATTTTTATCACATCGAACTTCAATTCCTTTATAAAAAGAAAAAATAAATAAATAACTGTAACAATGCAGTCATAGAAATAGTTGTATTTGAACAAAAGAAAATTTATGTTATGTAAATCTTAACCTTTCAACTGGGTATGACAAAGTATTTTGTAATACACAAAATATGCTATTTCAATGTGCTTAACAACATTTTTCGTCATGGGAATTTGCCGTAATATTTTGAACACGTTAAGTTTTATGTAGTTCTTATTTATTAAATCATAGCGTGGTTATATGTGAGCACATGGTTCACGTTTTCGCTATCAGACTTATCAGTTTTAGCCAGTCAACAGGATAAAAATAAAATAAATAAAGAAATATTTCACATCTAGTTTCATAATTCATATGAAAAAATAAAATTTTAATTTATTTTTGGCTGATATAAAAACTAGTTCTGTATATTGATTAGAAATAATATATGATGAGGTACATTCTCTATCTTTATTTTAGCCATAAAGGGACCCTCATTGGATTAAAAATATTTTGCAGTAGTGTTGATGGGCTAAGAAAAAATACTTGGTGCCATTTTGATTAAAATATATTCATCTATTAATGCCAAAAAATGCATTAATTTAACAGATTAGATGTATGGGAAAAATATATGAGAATTATTTTAAATGAATCTGTACTATCGATAATTTATGCTATCACTTCGGTTAATATGAAAATACCTGTTTTTATCAAAAGTAGGATAATAAGTGAAAGTTGTGAGATATGCAAACAGTATCAATTTTTATTATTACATTTAAGTATGCAAGAGGCAGTCTGTAAATATTAAATAGATTTTATTAGATGATTGAAACATACTATTAATGAAAATATTATTGATTAATATTCTCAAACTAATATAAAATCAAACAAATGAAATATATATATATATACCTGATAAAAGAAACGTAATGAGATGAGAATCCTTCGGAACATACAACCTCATCCTCGAACCATTAACCACAAACTCTACTAAAGCTTCGATCCGTGAATACCTCGATATATGCGGGAGTAAATTTTTAGCCTTGGAAGGATCCTAGTAAATTTAATTAAATATATTATAAATACTGGGAAATTTTTTTAACAAGAATACTTAATTATGATAGAAAGAGTTACTTACGGAAGTAATATCATTAACCCTATGTACAGGTATGTCCTTTTTGGCATGAACACCTTTCAAACTCTTAGCTGCTTTGTTTTCGGCAGCAAGAAGTGCATCATATGCTGAAGCTCTTTGATCATCGTTTTGTCTGTAACGCACAACTGTAGCGAGTCCTTTACTGACCATTGCTTCAGCAACATTTCTGAAACAGCATCAATAACTAGTTAATTAATTCAATTAATTCAACATCAATAACTAGTTTAAAAGTTAAAAAAAAAAATCTACTTCTCTACCTATACAAATTAAGTTTAGAGTATTATAAAACCATGCAAAGAAGCAATTCGTCTCTAAATCTCCGAAGAAAAGCATTAAATGTTTAGAACATTATATCTCTGCACCTAACTGTTCGATTTTATGGATTCTTTTTTATCATTTAACAGAGAATTCAATTTTTAAATAATCATGGGTATAATCAAACAAAAATTGTGTTATGAGTTATTCGCAAATATAGTTTTGAATCCATTGTAACTTTTTTTATACTCTTTTCAGGGAAGGATGTTGTATACATAAATTAAAAGGGCTTCAAGGAGAAGACTTTATCCAAGTTTAATTAAAATTGTTACAGGAGTTTAGGCGCTACAATCTATAGTAACACACATTTTTCGGCTGCCTTTCCGAAATGAAAGGACAGAGGGTTATCAAATGTATATAAAACACTCATGAATCCGATAGAAAAGTTATGTCAATATTTCAAAGCAATCAGTGAAGAAGTTTCGGAGATTAGCAGTTTTGAACAAACGAACATTTTCATTTTTATTAATATAGATTGTCAAATTTAATTGATTTCTTTAGCATTGCATTTGTAACAAACAAAACATAAACTTTTGTCAGTCAATGGAATTTTAAACCCCTTTTAAAATTGATGTACAACTGAGAAAACGTATCTCTGTATTGTGGAGAGAATATATTATTATTATACTATACCATGAAAAGGGTGAGAACTCTTTGATAGATTATTAAATTTAATATGTCCTTAGACTTGCGCTTAAACATTGGTAACAACAAAAAATAAATAAAGGACTACTTACACACTAGAAATGGTTACAGTACAACATATTTTTTCGGGGAGAGTGTCTCTTGCGGGCTGGATATAATCCACAGTCACATTCACTTTTTTCCCAATGAGCTTCTTCCTCAGGAATTCTCTTGCTTCAAACATCCATGGGATGTCATATAGCGGGCGAACTCTTCCTCCACGTGGTCTTTCTGCACTTCTCTCCTCGGGAGCAACGTTCCTTAAAAAATAAAGAAATGAATATGAATACAGTAATATTAAAATATCTCAGAAACTAAAAGTCAAACCTGCATATTGTAAGAGAGAGAAATATTCAACATTTCATCCTTTTTATAATGAGATAACATTTATAATTTATATTTCATATTATTAATATCGCCTTGTTAATGTTTTTACTTCTACCATATGGTCTAAAGAACACACATTAGATATTTTTTTCAATTTTACCAAATTTAGTGTTGCAAAACTTTTATATCTTGGGTTTATTGCAAAAAGTCATTAATTGGCATTTCATAACCTTAAATAATTACAAAATTTTATGAATTTTCTCTTTATAAGGTCAGAGAATTGTGCTCTAGTTGTAACTATTTGATTTATAAAAGAGTTTGTATCATTTTCATACACTTACAGTGTTTTTGTATCCGTAACTAACATAATTGATGTTGAAAACATATTTAAATGTTAAGCTCAGATACTGACTAGGCTCTCCCTAGAGGAGTCATCAATATAATTTAAGGAATGAAATATGACAATATAAAAATAATTATGACAAATCTTATAAAAAAATAATATATTTGGATGAGATAAGAATAATCTGAAACATCATAATAAAATAAAGAAAAATTGTTGGGAGAATAAATACTGGTATCAAATCTTACTTATATACCTCAGAAAAAAAGTGCCGCCCTTAGGAATTATGAAGAAATTTATTCTTTAATTTGGAATCATTATTACATGCGACTAACCTGTTAAAGTCTAAAGATTAATAAAAATAAACTGCTAGTGGCATAATTCAATGAAACTCAGATTCATTACCTTCTTACTCAAATGAGATACCTAAATGTAAACAGATCTTTAACTCAGAAAAAAATTCCAAGACTATCACATTATATTTCATTGCCTCTAAATTTATTTTAGAATAATTTTTTTTTTCTTTTTTTGAGATGACAAGTCAATAAAAATAGTAGAAAAAATTGTAAAAATGTTTTCAGTTCAAAAATATTAGTTTAACAAGAGACAAATTACAGATTAAATCCAGGGTGATTATTGAAATTTTTAAAAATTATCCAAATTTCAATAATAAATTTGTATTCTCACTATAAAAAGTAACTATGAGACAGATTAAAAGATGAAGAAATGTTTAATTATTTTATAAAATACATCTTAGAATACTGCAAAGATATATTTTACTTACCATACTAAAGATATTTCTTTAGCAGAAACATTGAGCATAAAGCCATGAATATTAAATAACATAAAGACAAGAGAAATAATTAAATTTTGCTTTTTTAAAAATAAAAAAAAACTTACGTTTCTCTAGGAGGTCTAATACTGGCTAAAAATATCTTTTTCACAGTTCCATTGGGAAGTTTCACCATAAGAGCATCACCGTTCACAACCTCTATTACTGTACCAGAAAATTCACGGTCACTAATCTATAAGACAAAAAAAAAAAATAATAATAATTAACAGAAAGCCTTTAACATCTCCTTCAATTAGCTAAAATGAAATGCGTTAACAAATAAAATATTTACCACAGGAGGAGGAGTCCAATCCTTCCAAATCCTGAGTCGTTTTTCTTTCGCCATTTTTTCAGCTTGACGCAGTTTATCAGCATCTGCTTTTTTCATCTTAGATATTGACCAATCAACGCAGTGAGCATAGCCTACTTTAAGTAATTCTTCTGCAATACTGCCTTTCTATAATAGAAATTAAACGTTTATATTAATATTTACTTTTATTTTTTTATTGGTTGCCAGGGAAGGGCCCCATACAAATAGGCTCTATCTTTGTATAACAAACATTATTACTCTTACGGTATTACAAATATTTTTTTATTTTTTCATTTATATACTACATTACAAATATTACAACAAGAATGCCTTAAAAAATATATTTGGAAAAAAGTCAGACAGTTAAAATAACGTCAATTATTAAAAATCTAAAATTGTTATCAAAATACATACACAATATCAATAAATACATTTTATTTTTTAGATATAAATAATAAACTATGTTTTAAATTCAATTAAAAGATTTCTCACACGAACAAAGAAAACAAATAAATAATATTCAAAGGAAAATATTCCAGATTATCCCTTCAATTCTCTATAATTTGAAATATTAGAAATAAAAAAATATAATCTCATATCTTATAGAAGTTGGCTCAAATATTCCAATTCCATTAAGATTACCCATACCCTGGTAAATTTTTACTCTTAAACTATTTTATATTGGGCATTTAAATAATACGTGATAAATTATCTTTTTCTATAGTATTGCACATTATTATTAAGTAATGATAAACCAATTTTTTTAAAATAGTTTATATCAATATTAGATGAAATTATAATTAATTTGAATTCAAAGTAATTAAATAAAACTAATACTGTAATGTTTTATTTAAGTATTCGATACAGTGATGTTTGATTTATACATACATTAAATAAACAAATAAAAATTGCGTTTCTTTAATAAATATGCATCAGTTTAAACTTATTTTATTCTAAACTAGCTGACACGGCCAGGTGTTGCAATGGCTCATTCTGGTTAAATAAAAAAAGAAGTAGAAAAGAAATTAGATGTTTCTAATATATTTTATGTAACAACACTTGTGAATATACAATATTCTTTGTTGTTCCATTTTTTTTTTTTTTTTTTTTTTTTTTTTTTTTTTTTTTTTTTTTTTTTTTTTTTTTTTTTTTTTTTTTTTTTTTTTTTTTTTGTTCCCTACCTCGCCTTTTAGGCTATACGGGATTTTCCCGGGCCGGGGGGAGAGGGCAGGGAATTTAAAATCCCCTCCGGCACCGGGACGCGAACTCGTACTTTTTATATCATCTCAAACCTCTGTTATCCGGTTGCCAGGCAACTAGCGGTGCTGTTACACACGCTTTAGCCTATTCGGCCACCCTGCCCCCCAATTCTCCAATTCCATTCCATTTCCAAATTCCATTCTTTGTATAGATATAGAGGATTGTCTGGTTTTCCGACTAGAATTTGCAACATATAATTGTCTATATAAGGAGCAATCAGTCTCTAAATCTCCCACACAAAATTACTAAATGTTTAAAGCATTATATTCCTGCAGCAAATCTTACAATTTTAGTGATTTTTTTTTATTTGTGGAGAATCAAAAAAGCTTTCAAATAATGATGGGTATAATCAAACAAAAATTGTGTACTTTTTTTGTTATTCGCAAATATGGTTTTGAATCCATGGTAACTTTTTTTTTCATACTCTTTTTGGAGAAGGATGTTATATAAATAAATTAAAAGGGCTTCAAGGAGAAAACTTTAGCCAAGTTTAATTAAAATCGTTACAGCCGTTTAAGCACTACAGTCTATTGCGACACAGACTTTTTGGTCCACCATTCCGAAACAAAAGACTGGAGGGTGATTAAATGTATATAAAACATTTCTGAATGCAATAGAAACTTTATGTCAATATTTCAAAGCGATAGGTGAAGAAGTTTAGGACATTAGCGGTTTCAAACTAACAAACATTTACATTTTTATTAATATAGATTCTTAAATATAACCTAATGTAAACCTAATAATTGATAATGACACATGGCTGAGTTTTTTATTGATTTTTTAAGAGTTAAAATCATCTCCAATATAATATTAATGACCAATTGAAGTTATCCTATGAATTAAACAAGCACTTAGCAGTGTCATAGAGGATTATTTATTTCTTTAAAACAAAAGGTTACCTCACTATTTTTTACAACCATTTCACTGGTTTTAAATATATTTTTCGATTTTAAAATAGAAATGACAAATCTTCAAAATCAAATAAACCATCAATAACAGCCATGATCATTAATTTAAATCAATACATATTTCGAATAATTAAGAACAGTTGATAAAAACAGATGGCCTGAAAAAAAATTCTAAATGTGTTACTTACAGGATGTATGATCGTCCCAACAAAGTTATTGTTGTTAACTGAGTCCAAAACTATTTCAACATCTTGATGAAGCAATCTTGTTTCAGTAAAATACTTTGCTTCATCAGCATAGTCAACTTTGATATTAAGATCAGGTTTGCCATCACTATCAAGTTTGAAACCAGGACACTAGAAATAAAATGGTAATGGTAATAGAAATAAAATATGAAAACATTCATTGAACATCTAATAAAAGGGCAATTAGTCAATCTCATTATATAACTACAAGACTAGATATATTAATCCTAAAAGCTACACTCGCATACCCCAGGTCACGAATTATTTTTATGTTATTTTGGCGGTTTTAGAAAGGTGGGAGTTTCTGTAATTTATAGTCAGTCGTACATGACACTAAAATAACTATCAGTGCATTATAGCTAATTGCTGTCTGTGTTTATTGAAAAAAATCTGGTTGCGGTACACTTGTACTGTTATCTAGTTTATGTATAACAACTTTTTTATTAAAACTTTAATTTTTATATATAAAAACACTCATTGAGTTAAACCTACTTCTGTTGTGCTTTCAGATATTATAGAATTATGTAACACAACTAAAGGTGGCATGGACACTTTGGAACAACTATGCCATTCCTACACATGTGCGAGAAAGACAAATCGCAGGCCATGTAAGATTATTTTATAACCTATTGGACATTGCTGGTGTGAATTCTCTAATATTGTTGAATGGCTCCAAATATAATAACAAGTAAAAAATAAAAAAATAGGCGATCTTTTATAAGAAGCCTTGCACGAGATCCCATCAGGCAGCACCTGTAGGGTCGCCTAAATACTTCAACTTCGCAGTCTCCGCTATGGCTCATGAATAAAATCCCCAACATTGACCCACCAGAGAAACCAACACTGATAGGTTATCATCAGTTGAAAGATGTGTTTTCAGCCAAAGAGGTAAAACAGAAAAAAACCGATTCAAGCATGCTACAGAAAGTATGTCATGAATGTGTTTAAATGATTACTTTTCTTTTTTTATATATAATGCATAAAATGGATGTAATGAAATTTCAATAACAATTTTTGTTAGAAAGAAAATAATTGTATTCTTGGGGTACATCTGAATCCCTTAACTTAACTGTACAACTGAATGTAATTATTATTATTTTAAGTAATCGTTCAGGGCTAAATCAAATATTTAAGTTAAATTTAATGGTCGTAATCATGTTATAACTGAAGCAACATACTGATTTATTTGTTCCAAAAGAAACTTAATTTGGCATATGGTGAAACTAAAATATAATTGGCTTTCGTATTTATTTTATAGTTCTTCTAATGAATAGATATAAACCTATTTCTAATGCACTAATGTAGAAAAATGTAAGTGATAATGATTTGTGAAAATGTGATAAGTTATATTTAATAAAAAATAATTTCCACAGCAAAAAAAAAAAAAAAAATTAAATTGAAATGTAAATGAACAGATACAATAAATTCATTTTTCTTTTAAAATATTATTTCTACAATAATAATATGAAAATTACCCTGATTCCAGACATCATTAAAGTGACATAAGTGAAGTCCGGCAATAAAAATGCTCTCACAGTAGATCCATCTCTGACATGCTCAATAATGGCTTTTAACGGTTTCCCTTCTGCCTTGTCGACAAAGTTCATCATTTTATCTGATTCCACTGACCATTTTATCTGTCTCACATGGCTCTAAAACAATATTTATCACATAATTAAACATAGAAAATAATCACAGTTGTTGAGGAAAGAGATGGTCAAACAAAATTAAATACATTCTTCAATTACTTTGAAATTAGAGATGATTATATAGTTCACTAATATTATGAAACCGAATCGATAAATTATTATTACTGTCTATATACTATATTCATATGATAGTATTAATAGTGTTAATGGAAATTTATTAAATACTTGCAAATTATATTATATAATATGTATAGTACTTACAAATTGCTAACCAAGAAATTTACATTTTATACCGCACCAAAATAAAAATTCATTTAAATATCGGATTACTGTTTTAAAATAACAATAAAGGTCTACTGCAATATTGAAACTAGTTCTTGGGAGAAATAAATAAATTATTTACGATTTTCAGTGATAGAAGTGGTTTACAATATATTACCAGAGTAAATTTTAAGTATTGAAATTTGGGGAAAAGATAAGAAAAAACGTTTCACAAAGTTTTAAATATCAGAAATCCTTATATAATATAATAAAATTTATAATGATTTGGAAATGGTTAGGCATCGGGGATGTGGTCAAATGCAATACTATATTAATATAGTATTTTATTAGACACGCTGACGTTTCGATTCACACTGTGAGTCTTCCTCAGGACTACAAAAGATACAAATTATAAATATAAATAGGTATAAGATAAAAAATAAAGCAAATGAATTATCTCTCGCAAAAGAGATAATTCATATAATAATAATTCAGATAATCTCTCACAATTAAACTCGCACAAGAGAATAATACTAAAACTTTAAAGATTCTCAATCAAATTGAAAATGAGATTCAACCAAGTTTGTTTCTACTATGGCTCTTCGTCAAAAAATACCATTATCTTCTGTTAATGATTTCTACCAACCATTAACTACAACCATTTTATATTTTCCTATCTACTATTCTTGTCCCAAAGTAAACCTAAAAAGAGAACTGTAGATTGTTTTTAAAAGGTATTCTGTGTGAAAACATTGAATGAAGGTGAAGAATGTAAAGGGAATAAGACAGTTTAAAAAGGAAATGAACAAATTGAACTTTGTTTGTAAATCCAACTGAAATTAAACCTGTGCTTCCAATTACAAATTTCATGATAAACAATAGGTAGATGATTTTTTCATTTCCAGGTGATATAGATGTAAATGAATATAGAGCTTATTTTTTTAAACTGTAAACTAAACGCTAGAAGAAACTACATAATATTTTCAATTGGTTTGTCTCTTCCAAAGCAACAATTCTCTTTACCTAGATTTGCCAATTCCTTTAAAAATTTATATCACATAATCTATTTATGGAACTAAATGTCTGGTTATTGTAATAGAAAAGAGATGATTTCAATTTTTAAAACATTAAAGATTCAAATATGTATGTACTTATTGGTCAAAGAATTGATTCATAAAATTATCCTTAGTTTTGAAATGATCTATTATGCCATCAAGTCCAAAGGAATCTCAATGGAGAGATAAGATACTCTCTCTCATACCCATTAAGCCACATTTTATAAACAAATATGGTGTACCATTGTATCTAATCTACTGGTTGTGCCCATTGACATAATTAATAAAAATCTCATATTTAAAATAAAATTCGAGCTTTATTACTTTAAAAAGTAGAACAGCCTCCAAGTATAAACCAATAGAAAATATTACAGATATTTAAAATAGTGAAGCAAAGAAATAATAGATTAAAAACATATTAATGAATATCTTACGCTTGCGTCATCAGCCCATTTTCCTTTTTTGGCTGCTTTTGCTTGCTCCTGTAATTCTGTTAAATGTTGGAGAACAGGATCTTTACTTCCAGCAATGGTCCTGACAGTAACTAGGCCTTCTTTCACTAATAATTCATTTATATTTTCTCTGGGTCCACCTGAAAAACTACATTGTCAATCCAATGTCTAAGGCAATACTAACAGTATAAAAAAACATTCTTATTACTAGATTTAACTTACTTGGAGGATCGAAATACAGGGTCCCATAGTCTCTGGTTTGATTGGCAGCTTTCTCTTTAGGTGTCGTAAAGAGGACATACTGTCCAATCAGTTTTTTCCTCAAGAATTCTCTGGCTTCCCAAGCATAAGGTTCATCTTCATCAGGGTTTCTAAAAAAATCAATTACATTAATACAATATAATATATAAATAGTTGGCCAATTTGAATAATTGTATAGTAAAATGACCAGTGAACAAATATAACTAAGTACTAAGGAAGATTTTTTTTTTTTAAGTTGTATCATTTACAAATATATTTAAGGTTGTAACTTTTTACTTACGGGCCAGGAGCTTGAGGTCTTTTAGCAAGTTTGGGAGCAATCAAAGATGTTAAACTCAAAGTTTTTTCAGGAGGAGGTCCACCTTTGGGAACCCCTCTGATGACTACCGTATCTCCAGATAAAACCTGCAAAATAAGATAAGCAAATAAATATATATATATTTGTAACTATAAAAAAAAATTATATGCACAAGTTCATAAGGGTGGATGAAGAAGAGGGGTTGAAACCATTATACATGTTGGAACCAGGATCAGTGAAAGCATTGATTACGTAATTATGTATCATACTGCATTCCATCCCATTTACCATTATTACTACTTTAATTTTTTTTTTAAATTAAGTAAAACAAAATTACAAGCTGAAACTTGCTAATTTAATATTGTGAGAATAAAGAGAAGTACCAACATCTATATCAATTTCATCATACAACTACATAAATGATGAAGCAAAAACAAAAGAAATCACAAGATGTACTGGAGCAAAAATAAAGAAATAATAAACAAAAGATATTTCAACAATGAAAAATATGAGGAATATAAATTACTCAAAAATTATAAAAATTGTTCAATTTCAAAATAAAATAAACTCATGGTGTACAGAAAAACAAAACAGTTAAGATCTAAAAGAATTTTTAAAAAATTTTGAACAGAATATTTTAACGGTAAGTTAGGTAATAAAATTACCTATTAGCTTAGAATTTAGAAATTATATTATTTAGAAAGCTAGAAGGGAGGAAAAATAAAACTTTCCCAGCAAAAAAAAGACCAATTATATACTGACAATTCTCTCTAAATCCGGAAATTAATGGCATAATTACTAGAGTGTAACAAATACAACAGTATGTATATACTAAAATTTATAATTGTACTTGGTTGTTATAAGAAACACATTGGTACGGAGGAACAAAGCGACTATTCTAATATGAACAAAGATGCTTATTGTTAACTACTGCTTAGTTTAATAATGGGCAAGTGAATGGTTGTGGTATTTACAATATAATAATGAAACTCTTTGACAGTAAGATAAACAAGTGAATACTAAACCACTAACATACAACAATGTGGTTTCAATAAATGGGCAAAAACAACTTTCTCATTGTTATAGATGTTTGATAGTAAATAAGTTATAATTGTTTAACTGTATTAAACTGACTCACTTGTTTTACAATTCCCCTATTTAAAGTGGGAGGTTGTTGTTCAGTTTGTGGTTGTTGGGGAGCACTCATTGTAATTGATTATTGGAAAGATTTCACAAAAATTGTAAACGAAGATGTCCTATTTTCGCTTAAATTTGCTGTCTAATTCTTTTTATAAAATGGATCGTTCAGAATCAAAAATGTAGAACAAACAACACGTTTTCATATTAACGAACACCTCATTGGACTGACTTCAAACGTGCCAAGGGGCGAAAGGTGGTGATGATGTGGCTGCAACCTAGACTGAATTGTGAACTAGAAAATGATCACATCCCTCCCATGCATAATTACTGAGATAGTACCTACTTTAAATAAGTTCGTTAAAAAAATATCTGACTACTTCTCGTTTTCAGCAAAAATATCAGATTAAGTGAATAGAAAATCAATCATTTTCTCTATTATACATTTTAATAATTCACTTCATTGAAATAGTTGAAGATTATTTTTCAAACATTTTAAAAATTATATTTGATCATAATTAAATTGTTTTTTATTTTAAAATTCAAATTAATTTTTATTATAACTTTGGTAAACATTGGCAGTGTATGTGCCTATAGCTGCCATATTGTCTGTGTACGCCTGTAGTTTCATGGCTTGGTGAGAGTTCGCGTGATATGTGTTTGTTTTTTTAGTGCCGATGTGAAGACAATTGATAAGTTTTTAATTTGAATGTGTCTTATTCGTAATTCGAAAGACATTTCATAATGACTCAGTTTTTACCTCCAAATCTCCTAGCCCTATTTGCTCCACGCGAACCTATACCGTTTTTGCCTCCCGCTGCCAAATTACCTCATGAAAAGAAGAATAGAGGCTACCTAGGAGTTGGAAATTTCTTAGACTTTTTTGAAGTATGTAATGTGTTTTTAAGTTTAATTCGCATCCCTAAATTCTCCGTTTCAAAGCAAAGTTTAACTGTTTTTTTTTTTCTTGTAGGATCCTACTGAGACTCCTCCTCCTAAGAAAGTAGAAACTAGAGATGAACGTCTTGAAAGAAGAAGGCGTGAAAGAGCAGAACAAGTTGCTTATAAGTTGGAACAAGAAATAGCTGTTTGTATGTTATCAGTTTAATATTATATGTTTTAAGTGCAACCAGTACTATGCTAAGACCAAGATGCCCTTGCAGTAAAGCTTAGAGAGCATTTTAAAAAAATAATAATTTTCTATTTTTTTTTTATTAATTATGTTATCAATATTTTAAATGGATTAATCATTGTAGTTATCTATATTATCATATTAGTAATAAACTCATATATTAAGAATGCTTTTGTTGAAAAAATGTTTTGATTGTTAATTATAGCTTAACGACATATTTCTTAGATTTATTTAATGTAATATTAGATTTGATATAATTTCAGAAATGTTCTCCTTCATGGCAGTTGTCCCAAGATCACATCAATCACAGTGTAGATAACCATTTTTATGAGTGTAAACAATATTTAATTTGATTGCGACTTGACTCTCATTTATTTCACTGTGTAGAGATAGTTCTTTTTTGTATTGATGATAAGAACCAATACAAAAATGGAATGTATATTCCATTAATTATTTTTAAAGGAGCTCTGGATATTGGTCCTCTGAGTGTATTCTCAGATTCGCTTGTCTGTTTTCAGAATTCATTTAAATTGTAAACGATTTGAACTTGTTTCGATTTCCATGATAAAGTGACACTTGTGAAACAGCACGATGGAATAATTTTCAACTTCATTAAATTTTTGTTTGAAATTCTCTAATTCTTCGATGGATTGAATATTCCTTGATTAATTAAATTAAATATTAATGTATAATAGTTATTAAAGAAATATCTCTTACCAAAGCTCCATACCATTATTTTGAAGATTCTGGCTAATTAGCTATTCTTTTTGTAGTGATGATTTTTAAATCTTCCTATCTGAAGCTGAGCCATTGGATAGTTGATTAATTAGATTGATCTATGTCTTTAGCTTTTTCTCTAATTAATGATAAGATAAAAAGGTTATATTAAATTCCATTTAAATATTTTTTTCAAACTTCAGTACCGATACAAACTATCTACTAAAAGATTAATCTATAATCACTTTAGAATTTGTAATTTGTGGGATTAAATAGGCTTAATCTTTTGATTTGAATTAATTAGAAAATCTTAAAATTATAATTTATCTCTAATCAGCTGTCAGCCCTAGAGGGAGGGAGACTAGTGTTGTATTAAATTTTAAGTTTAGTTAATTGTTGAAAATATAAGTTTTCTTACATTACATTTTTCACAACTATATGCCTGAGGGGAAGGGACGAGGTGATTGAGCAGGCTAACACGTTTGTTAAATATGCGTTGCCCAGCAACGTAATAAACCAAAAATTAAATTCTGGTGCTGAGAGAGCTTTTAACTCTGGTATAATAACCTCGTCCTCTCTCCTGATCTGAGAATAAGCCCAAAAAAGCTTAAATTACGAGGAAGGGGAAAAAAAAACTATATGTATGATAAACTATATTTATACATTATTACATTGGGTTGGCAAATAAGTTTTCGGTTTTTCAGGGTGAAATAAAACTCAATGTATTGAAATATTTATTATTATTTAGTATTTAAGTATTGTTAGTAGCTATGTATTACCCTTTTAAGGATTGGCTTTTTTGTTAGAAGAAATAGTTTCTTGATTATTTTTCCAATAGGATGATATGATGAAGGATTACTGGTGGGTTTAGAAGGTTTTAGAAACATTTTTATTGTAGAAAGTTTCCAAAAGAGAAGGAAATGAGTTACGTGTAAGATAGCATTATAGATTTAAGTAAGAAAGAAAACGGCTTTTTGGGGTAGGTGGTGAAGGTTGAAGGGAATGATCAGATCATAGATTTTTTGTTTGTTTGGAAGTCTGTTGATTTCCTTGTGAATTTCTTTTGGAAGAAATGCTGGAGGAGGTAGTAATGATAAGATGTCAAGGCATCTTCACTCCCTATAGTGAGTGTATTATTCTCAATGTTATTTGTTCCTAATACCCGAGTAAGATGTTTTTCGAATTTGTTTGGTTTTTCTTTGCCTGTTATGGCCCAAGTATTGTCGGTTCCTATCGTTCACTGGATTTAAGTGTCCCTGTATCGCTTATTTTTTAATGACAGTTCTGGTTTTAGTTTTCGGATTAGTCTAGTAAGAGCTGTTTTGTGTGATGGGTGTCTTGTTCTTTGCCATAAAGCTCTAGTTCTGCTATTTTCTTTTATGGGGTTGCATATAGTCTGAGGTATTATTATTTTAAAATTTGAATCTTACCAGATGCCTTTTTATTTAACAAGGTAATCTTAAACATTTACAATCTTCAATTTACAATATACATGAAATAAATTTACAGATACATTTTTTATGAATAGAATGGATACTATATTAACATTTAGATATAGACATAGAATAATGTAACCTTATCACCAATAACTCTTCACTACTAATTTTCTAATCATGAACTTACTCCCGAGTTAACTTTAAACAAATTGACTAATTATCAATTAATCTTAAACTGAACTAACCTCATTTATCTAATTAATCAAACTACTGTACTACTGTTTTAACTTTTTCCTCTAAATTAGTCTAAATAACAGAACATAATAGTGATAACTGAAATATCATTGCAATCCTTAACAAACTGTGTATTATGGTTGATGTGTTTATTAAGTTAATAAAATTATGCTAAGTTGAAGATAGGTATGGGTAAGAGGACGGGATGGCTGAGCATGTTGGGGGTCCCACAGAGCCCAGTCTGAACATTGTGGGTCCGATTCCTATCTAGGTAGGTAAATTTTCTTTTCTTGGTGGTCTTACATTCTTAATCTGGTATGTATGCGGCCACTATCTGAAGGTTGCCGTTAGGGGTTGGAATAAAGAACCATCATAAGGCCTATTTGCCGGACTAGTTACTACCAATATCAAGTATTGATAAAGGGAAGGAGATTGTCTGAAATAAGTTTTTAAACCGTGTCTTTTTGTAGTCGAATCTATATTAGGAATATAGGATTTATTTCTGTTAATTAAATTTGATGACATTTTGAGAGATTATGATGGTTAGTACCTAGTTGTTCCAACATGAATTTTATCAAATTCCGTTTTCTTATTCCAGTTAAGTTAGCATTTTTTCTTTTATAATATTCAATAAATGGCTTCTCCTGTAGACTTCATTCTCAAGTAAAATATCACAGACCCTACTTAACTAACTTTTCATAATACCCTCACAAGAACATTTTGCGTGTAATGTTGATAGTATTCAGACCTGTTACATTCGTTATTCCTTTTCGCTAACAAGTCTATTCCACCCTGGGATGTTAAAATTTTATTAGCCAACCGTAGTTCTGCATATACTTGTAACAATTAGAAAGTTGCTTTTTTATTCTTTAAAAAATGCTTAGTTTTAATAGCTCATTCGTTGTTGACATGTTTTTGTTTATAAATGAATAAAAAGTTATGTATCCAGGTTAAGTCAGTGGAACTGGTTACATTATCCATCTTTTCATAATATAATATTTTTGTTATGTTAATTTTCTTCATTCTTTGATGGTCTACTGTTAATTATCATTCGTTGAAATAATTTAATATCTGTTTTATTTTATGGAATGAATATTAGTTTTATATTGTGTTGTCTTTATTACTCATTTAGAAAATGTTATTTCCTGAGAATTAAATAAATAACACTGATAAGCAAACTGTTGTAGCTTTATGAGATACCTGTAGTTTAATTTTTTTTTGTACATGCATGTCATTAATGTATACAATTTTCACCATTGAACTACTCTGTTTTTTATCTGACAAATCATCGCTAATGACGTTTTTTTTTTTTCTCTCTAGGGGATCCTCACAATATTGCAAATGCCACTACTGATCCCTTCAAGACACTATTTATTGCCCGAATCGTAAGTTTTTAAGTTAATTCTATAATAACATTTTTAACATCCATTGTACACTTTCATAAATTTCATAAACAATTGCCTTATATACTAATGATAAAAATGAAGAAATTGAAATGTATAATGAAACATAAGCAATAATTTAAAGGAAAAACACTTATTTTACTGGTGACGGATTGCTGGATATCTGCCAGAGTTTCACAGCAGTGGATTCATATATGAGTCGAGAGCCTGTAGGGTTCTCTCTCTTTAAATGGCAGGGTGCTCAGTAATCAATTCTGTTTTCAAACTGTTTTGTGGTGTTTCTATCAATGGTATTAATATTAGATTAAAAAAAAAAAAATAGAAAGTTTGAAATGAATCCCTAAATAAAAAGTGGTGCACAGAGGTAATAACAAGTACTCCATCACAAGAACATGGAGAACTGTCAGCTGATGCCTTCCTCAAGGCCACTTCTCTCTTCTTCTTCTCATTGTTACTAAAAGGTTAAATGCCAAAATTGGAGATGGAATGAGAAGCCGATGAAAAAGGAAAGGAAGAAGCCCTTGTGAATAAGGCAGATGGAACAATGGGTGTACATGGTTTGACAGAAGAGTCGTTTAAGAGAGAGGAATGGAAAAAGAGGCTCAAAGAAGAATTTGCATGATGAAAACTTTGCAGTTTTGCACCTTTAAATAACAATAACAAACAAACTACATACATTAATAAATTCTTAGTTATAAATTAATGAGAATTTCATTGTGGGTATTGTTAATGATCAATAACAGAAGGTGCACTTCCACTAATCGTGCAGGTGTCCGCGAACCAGAAATTCTTGAATAGTACATAAGCCCATGCATAGTTCAAATCTCACATTAGAATAAGTTTCTTCCAGTTTTAATTTACAATAATTTTCTAGTTGGATTGATAACAAATGTTGGGAAACCCAACTGCTGTTTGCAAATATTTGATCGTTGTAGGTGATAAGACAAATTCTGGATTGAAAACAGTTTGAGTTGAAGGTCTCCTAGATTACCCATTCCCATTTTGTTTTATGGATTTTTGGATTTGGACTGGTTTATATCTGGTGTAAAATTATACAAAATGATTGAAAAAATCAATGTACTTGCTGGTCCACCACAACTTTTATATAGTCCAGCTGCCGTGTCTGGTACCAAGTTCTATAACCTCTTGGTTTAACAAAATTACCTTTCTTGAAGAAATATTTAAAGCAATCCTTATGTCAAATATAAAAAAAAATCCGACAACTTTCTGATCAACTATTGTTATTTGTAGTTTTTCTCACACTATTGCGAGTTTGGTTAAATATTTCACTTCTTTTTTTTTCAGAACTATGATACTTCTGAATCCAAATTGCGGAGAGAATTTGAAATGTATGGACCAATCAAGAAGGTAATTACTGACTATTATTAAAAATAAATAATGTGTCAACCTGGTTTTGTTCTCAAGTATAAATTTTATCTTATATTTGACGTAATAATCAGGAATATTAAAAAGCTTTTGTTAATGAACTTATATTGTGTTCTAATTTTGGATTGATACACAATAATTGGCAAAAGAAACATTTAAATTTTCATAATTTGATTTTTATTACTGTTCAGAAACACCCATGACTGGTGCGAATTCGATTGATGCATTGAATGGCATTCAGGTCTATTATAAATGCCCGCCCTTGAAAGCTAGTGATTGTCAGATTATTCTCTTTATATACCATTTACATGACGTTTCATTGTATAATGTGATATAAGGCATGGCTGCATACGCTATCGTGAGAAATTATTGAATGGTGGGAGCTATTTTAGTAAATCTTTTTTTTGGGGGTGATGTTAAGACACTGGTCTTACTATTTTTCTTGAAATCATTACTTTTGGAGATGAAATTTATTTATAGTCATCTTTAGTTAAATAAAATCCGGACCAACAATACACAGGAAACCACTTTGCTACTCTGTTCTGTATACATCTTTGGTATCTTGATGACTCCTTTGATAATGTCAATCCTTAAGCAATTTAGTGATCGGTTATTATTTGATATTTTATTGCTTAAAACGCCCTAATTCAGGGATCAGCCAACCTTTTTTCATCTGCGGCACATTAATAGGTTATATGCTAAGTAGTGGACTGTGTTTTTTATTTTTTTCAATATTGCAGGTAGGTTAATGTTTATAATATTAAAATAAAAAATGTAAAGGGTATCAATAAAAAGAAACAAAGAAAAAAGAAAGCATTAACAGACACCAATATAGCATCTTTTCTTATATTAAATTTACAAATTTTGAAATTAAAATTAGAAATTAATTAGAAGTGATATGGGTTACAATTATGTATAAAATAATTTGAATGCAGTGTTACCGACAGTATCATTCAGTTTTTTTTTTTTTTTTTCTTTTTTTACAGGGCTTGGAATGATTGCTGAACATTTATAAAATTGATAATAATTAGCCGAGATTTAATAGGCTTTTGTAGTGAGTGCTAACATAATATAATTCTGTAAAAAAGAAAAAAGCAAAAAAAAATCATGTATTTTTTATAACAAGCTCAAAAATCAAATACACTTTATACTGACTCACTAATCTGTTCAAATAATTTTCAGTCTCTGACATGTTGTCCCAGTGGCTGTTTATTAATAAACACTGGTATTCATTCGTTTTGAGGGATTAAGCTTATACCACCTTCAAAATGGTCGATAAACATTGTGAAAAACATTAAACATATAAATACCAACAAAAGAATTTATTCCCGTTTGCATCTCAAAAGCTTGCATATTAAATTACTTCTTAATTAGTTGGTTATGAAAACCTGGTTTTTTTCTCAAGTATAAAATAATTTTATATTTGATGTAATAATCAGGAATACAAAAAATCTTATCCTATCTTGCAGAGAGGATTTGAAATGTATGGACTAATCAAGAAGGTAATTACTGATTATTATTCAAAAATGTTGTTTTAAACACAAATAATGTGGTAACCTGATTTTGTTCTCAAGTATAAAATAATTTTATATTTGACGTAATAATCAGGAATATTAAAAATCTTTTGTTAATGAACTCATATTGTTTTTCAACTTTTGGATTGATACACTATAATTGGCAAAAGAAATACAATTAAATTTTCTTATTTGATATTTATTACTGCTCAGAAAGATACATGCAGTTTGATGCATTTTAGGTAGAGCATTCAGGCTTATCATACATGCCTGATTAGAAAGTTGTTTATCGACAGACTATTCCGTATATATACTATTTAGGTGGTTTCTTTATATAATTGATGACAACAAAAGGATTTTTCTTCTTTTTCATCTCAAAGGGTCAAATATTGATTTAAAAGTAAGCTATGAAAACCTGGTTTTGTTCTCAAGTACAAAATAATTTTATACTTGACGTAATAATCAGGAATATTAAAGTCCTTTGCTAATTTTGTCTTTTTGTTTATCAATATTAGTTGATAAACAAATTAGCAAGAGATATAGTTGTAACTTTTTTAATTTATACTCAACACATATTTTCTAAAAACAAATGCTATCTATCTGATAAGCTTGCTATAATTTTTCTTGATATTTTTTTTTTTTTAATACTATATTTAGAATTTTTAATGTTGCAGATTGTTCTTATTCATAATTCGGTGAATGGAAAACCTAGAGGTTATGCCTTCATTGAGTATGAACATGAGAGGGATATGCATTGTAAGTACTTCGATTACTATTACTTTCTATTTGTTTATTAATTTTTTTGTTCTGTATTATTCTATCATCAATTTTAAAATTGGGAAAATCATTTTAAAGAAACAAAACAGAATTAATCTTTTTAAGGTACTTTGTTTTTATCATTAACTATCTCTTTTTCTATTCTAAGGTGTGTTAGAAACATTGGTAAGTATTACTGTGAATGGGATAAGGGGGATTGAAGTTATCTATGTATTATTTTATTAAAATACATATTAATTATGGCCTAATAATAGTTTTCTTGTTTCTGGGTCCAGTTTGGCGGTGATGTGTTGGCTTCTTAGTATGCCTCTTGATTCCACATTGATCGTGATCTCACATTCATTTGATAGGTTTGTATGTCTGGTAAGACCCAACATACAACACTTTGCGTATATTACCAAAATAGATTTTAATGACCTTTTTTTTTTTACCTTAACAATTCCATTCCCTATTCCTAATTAAATTATTATCTCATAGTGACAGAAAAAAAAATTCATGAGGATCGGTAAATATTTTGCTATTCAGTTATATGTTTTAAGATGTTATTTTGTTTAATATAATTTATTGATGAAAAGAAATATTGCTAACAAAATTAATAAAGAAAAGGAAAACTATGGAAGTGAGTACATTGCAAGAGGCAGTTTGCACCCATGCAATGGAAATGCTATGGTAGTTGCTTACCTCAGGTATAAACGGTTTGTATGGTTCCAGTAAGGTTTATACTTATAATTTGATAGTAGGGCTATACTTGAGTAATTTATAGTTCCATAAATATACTATTATTTAAATAGCCTAAATTGCGCGAAAGCCGTAAGTAATGCGCACCAGGTAATATATGGTCAAATATATTGTCGAGGAGAGGAAGGACTTTGTGTCTGGTCTTCGTTGGTATCGATTGTGGTTACTGTTCCCCCTTTCTCCGGTAGGTACACACATCACCTTACCTACTTTATCATATAAATAGTTGAGTCACTCTGTGGGATCTCTAATTTTTATTAATTTCATGTTTCAAAATTATCTTTTTGTTTTAACACTCAATGTCTATCTTGAAAACTTGCAATTATTCAGAGACATAAAGGATACCTTCTTTTTTTTTCAATAAAAGAATCATAAAATAAAATGCTACTTATTTTCTGATCAAAATAGCTTATTTATTAATTTTAATTGTAGCAGGATGACCACAGCAACCTTGATAGTGTGATAACCAGGTTGTAAATATATTTGTTCCTAATTGTTATTTATTCAAAATTAAATTAATGTGTTTTATTTTATCATTTTTAAATTCGTTGGGAGCGTAATCAATCAGCATTTTCTTCTCATTTTGACAAATTTTTCAATGGGTAAATTATATTCTAGTTTTCCTGTTATCAGGCTAGTATGATATTGTGTTGCTTTTACTTTTATTGAGATGATACCTGGTGCCAACACAACCGATTATAGTCAAGAAGTGCGCTCAATTATTGTCACTTGTCTAATGGGGAAGGGAGATGCAATCCGAGCACACATGCATCTCCAACTGAAATCGCTTCGATACAATTCTTTGAATAATAAATATGTTTTAGGTATCCACACATTTTTACAAGTACCCTTGTTTTGTTATATTAGCAATTAGTATAGTTAATTTTTTTCCTCCCCACCCTCCTCAGAATTCAACAGTGGATTGTTTTATTAATGCTATTGATTCTTTTGATGTTTTTACTTGAGGTTATCTTAAATAAGTTTTTTTTTTTTCAATCTTAAGAATATTTTTGGTTCTAATTTGTCTTCCTAATCAGTTCTAAAGAAATCATTTAATTAATTGTCTGCTCAAATCTTTGAGTCTTATAAGAAATATAAGATTTAAAATCATGGTAAAGCCCTTTAAATCACCTACGTGTTTTGATTATTTTTTTGTTCTGATATAAGTGAATTCTTAGAGGCTCGGAATGTTGCTAATGGAAAACCATTGCTGTTGTGATTAGAATAAAGAAAATATTTGTTGAAGAACATTGTTTGCCATGGTTGGTTTAAAAAAGTATCACTTGTTCTTAGGACTCATTTTTTTTTATTTTTCAAACTAACATTTTAACAATTTTTCATATTATGATATGCTAGCCTCCAAAAATGTCTAGAATGACAAAATTACTTCTATTTTTAAATTAAACTTTTTTTTTTGCAATTCAGAGGCATAAATGTTCCCCCCCCCCCTTGATTGTTCTATTCTTCTCTTATTCAGATTTAATTAATCAAAATATATTTATCAAAAGCAGCCATGATTGTTGAGGCTCAAGCGATTCTAATGAAGTCTTTTATTTCCTTACGTTTCTTCTCTTCAGAGTAGGTCTTTTCCATCCTTCATTTGCACGCCTCTATTCAATGCGCTTGTTGTTGTCCTCGTAATTAAATCATCACCGTCATTATGGCCTAAATTCATTTTATTTAATTTCATCTTTATTAGTCTCATGAGATTGCTTGTTTTTACACATAGACATACTGAGAGTGAATTTTCTTAAAATTGTTTTATTATTGATATTTTTTTGTGGTAAGTATATAATGGATGAGGTAAGTTACTGGAAACATGGTTTTATCAATGACTTATGCGTTTTAATGAACTTTACAGCTGCATACAAACATGCAGATGGGAAAAAAATTGATGGCAGGAGGGTCTTGGTAGATGTTGAAAGAGGCCGTACGGTCAAAGGATGGCTTCCAAGGCGACTAGGTAAACATTTATTTTATTTTTTTTATAAAATTAATATTTATTTTTTGCTTAAGATTTTTAAAATGAATTTCTAGAAGATTCAAAGCTTTATTGATTGAAAAAAGTTATGTTAAGAGATGTTTTGTGAATGATCACATTTTCATAATTTACAATTTATGCAATATTAAAAAAAAAATCTCTTTTTTATGATTAATATTACTGATTATTTCTCTTTGAGATCACTTTTTTTTTTTCAAAAGAAAATTAACATTATTTTTAAAATTGAAAATATAAATGAAATTCCGAAAATATGTAATTTCAAGATTCATGATTTCTTTGTATTGATTCTGTTTCGTATTGCTTTTCGTGCATTCTTAAATTCTTGGAAGTTTTTATTGAAGAATTTTATAAGTTAACTTTTGTTACCGAGTTACCAAGTCCAAATTATTTGGGCTAGGTAGTAATATATCCATTTGTCATTCATTTGTAGATATCTGCTTCAAATATTGTCATAATTTGTAATTATTGTTCAAGTTAGTTGAGTGTTCATTTGTTCAATAACTTAATAAGGTGATATACTATAAAATGATAAATATCCATGTCAATCCTGAACCTTAGGTGGAGGACTAGGAGGAACAAGAAGAGGAGGACCGGATGTTAATCTGAAACACTCTGGACGAGAGGACAATGAACGTGAGAGAGAAAGGTATAGGCTTGAAAGGGAGGCTGCTGAAAGAGCTCCTCGGAGAGATGAACCTCGGCGCAGATCCAGATCTCGGGAAAAAAAGAGGAGATCAAGAAGGTATTGTTTACTAATTTTTTTGTTCGGATTTGGTTTATTTTGTATACATTAATTGGGAGTATATTAAAATGAAAATATTTAACATGTTATAAAATATTATAAAAAACATCACTGATTTATAAGAACTTATCTTGCAAATAATGGAGTTAGGATGGTTGTAGAAATGGTACACCTGTTTTATTTATAAAATTTGACAAAACATTCAATCATTTGAATTATTTTTTTATTTTAAGCAAGTCTTTAAATAATTAAGTCGTGTCAATGTCTAAAGATTGCATAGAGGTCTCGAACAGTTTATAACCACAATTCTTTAGTTTTATTAGTGATGTGTTTATAATTGTCATCCTATTATAAGAAATATTGGCGAAAGATTGAAATCAACTGTTAACTTCTTACTTTAACGGGGCAAATGTTTTTTAAAAGAAACTAACGTTTCATTATTTTGAGGTTCATTTTTATTCTTACATTAAGTGTGTCTACAGCCACAGAATCTTTAGAAAGTCAGAGAATTTTCCTTTTTTTTTTTTTTTTTGCCATAAATTCCCTATATGATATACAAAAGGGAAACTTTTAATTAAAATTAATTGAAGTATGTACCAAATAATGTTTTGTTCTTAAGTATTTGGTTACAATTTACCATCCTCGTACATCTTTAAAACTGCAAAAAAATTGTAGAATGTGTTCAAGGCTTAAGTTTACGTTTAGTTATTCTCGTTCTTGAATCTCAGAATATTTTAATTACCGATTCATTCTGTTAGGACTGTTTTTTTTTTTGTTTTTTTTCAATTTATCTCTATAAATAAAATATAAAAATATCAATTTACAGCTCAAAAAAGTTGTTAAATGAAGAATATCTCTCTCTCTACAATTTACCTATCATATGAGAGGACGCTTGAATGTATTGATGCCTGCCGTAACATATATCTTTAGTCTAATAGGGAATATTTTTTTTATTTATTGTAATTTTGTATTCTAAGGTCAGATTTACTCATGCATGTGATCAGGTAAATTGATATGAGTATGTATCATGAATCCTACAACAATCCTTTCACTGATTCATATGTTTAGCAAAAACTATCTGAGAAATGGAAATATGCTTGAGCTTTAGTTTTGTATTTTATGTTAAATAAATTTAGTGAAATCCTATTAAAATAGTAAATTTTGATACAAGAATATTATAAATCAATTAATTTATTAATTGATAATAAGCAACAAAAGTTATTTTTACAATAACTATTTATTTTTCAGATATAGTAATTCCAAAAATAAATAATAATTATAAATATAAAATATCAGTCTTCATTATATTTATTCATTAGCATTAGCATTCATTCTTCATTATGATGAAGAATTATTTTTAATATTTACTTATTGAAAGAGATACAAATAAAAAGCAAGAATCATTTGTTATTCCTTGGTGAGTGTGAAAACAGAGGGCATTAGTTATATGCTGTCAGAGAACTAATTACCTTTATTTCTTATTGTAATCCAGACTCTAAAAAGATATATTGAGAAACTACAAATTATAAAAATATTCATCATGAACAACATAAATCTAGGTTAATAAAATAAATTAAAATGGTTGTCGCATTATTTATTAAACTAAAAATTCAATTCAATAATTTGTTTCAATATCATTTAATGTATTTCTCTGTGCTCAATATTTTTAGCCGTTCACGAGATCGAAAACGAAGGAGAAGTCGTGAAAGAATACCAGATCCTGATATTGAAGAAATTGAAGAACGGCCCAGAGAACGAGAAAGAGAAAGAGATAGAGATCGCGAAAGGGACAGAGACAGGGATCGTGAAAGAAGAGATCGTGACAGAGAGAGGAAAAGGAGAAGGAGCCGTTCCAAGGACAGGGAAAGGAAAAGAGATCGCCGGGACAGGGATAGGGATAGGTATACAATTTATGTTTACTGTTTAAATAAGGAATGTTGATCTCTTAACTAAGAATGGTTTATTTATCATATTAATTTTAATTTATAGGGACAAGGACAGGGAAAGGAGAAATCGGGACCGAGGGAATGGAGACGATGAATTTGAAGAGAAAGTTAGGATCAAAATTGAACCTCCTGATGGTAATTTATTTTATTGTCATGTAAACATTACATTTCATATATCACCTTGGTCAAAAATAATTTTGCTGTTACTTTGATCGTGGTGAATTGTATATATATTATTCTCAATATATTTTATTTCTAAATTTTAGATTATCCAGACTACTCATCTCAGAATCATTATCAATCTGGTGAGTTTGATGAAAACAAAGTTAAATATGAAAAGGATGAAGATGATAGGACTAAGTATGAAAACAATAAACCACCTTCAGAGCAGGAGGAGAATGGACGTATTGGTGAGATGGGATATGAGGAAGATGAGAACTATTAAACATTTTCCCTTAGATCATAAATTTAAAATAAATTGTTGAAATAATTGTGTTTTAAGAATACAATAGACTTTGTGAATTAAATTAATTATAGATAATTTTAAGTTGAGATTGTCTTTAACTGATCCAATTCCCTACTTTAGGTTTTGTTTTATTGAAAGACCCTTATGTTTATTTGTGAAATCGTTTTTGTTGTGGCTGAGATACTTTTATATTTCTTTTCAAGTGTCTTGATTTTTATAACTTATACTTAAAATGAACTAATAAGTCTTATTTCAATGTTATAAGATTTTCAACTATACTGAATAAATATAGTTTTTTTAAATTTAATAACAAATGAAATGTTCAATTTTTTTTTTTTTAACTGTCAGCCTTTAGTCCAACTACTCACATTGTTGTGGAAGAATTTTGAGATAGATTTTAGAAGTAAAAATCTTGATGGTGTAAATTTTTGTTACAATATTCAATTTCTCGATACCTTGGCAGTAGTGGTGCCCCATAAAATTCATTCCATCCATTTATGGATCTGGATTTATATTAATGACATAAGTTTTATCACAAAGTGATTTCATTTTATTTTTTCAACAAATCACAAAGAAAGATGTATTTACTTCAATATTTAAAACTTATTATTAATTTGTTCTCAATTTGAACTTATAGTATATAAGCTTAATACTTAGATATTTATATAAATAATATTGGAAGAATAGTTAAAGGAAAACTTTGTACAAAGTCACAGCCTGAATATCACTTGATTGTTCTTAGCTATGTTACAAGCAATCATCTGAACAATAAAAGTAATTTTCTTATCCGTTTTTTGTAGTCTCCTTATTGTCTTAATGTAATTTAGTATCAGCTGTATAACTAAAAATCTGCCGATTTTTTAAAATTTAATTTTTCTGTATTTTATGGTGAAAATGTAAATATGAAACATATTCATTTATATCCTTTTAAAATAATGTGTGTTTTTTTTTTAATATCTCCTATTGTGTGATTTTCTTTTTCGAATTTTCTATATTGGATACTGCTATAAGTAGTTAAATGTTTTTTATTCATTTATTGAAATGAACTGTATGAATAAATACAGGTAAATCTACTCTAAGAATATAAAAAATAATATTATAAGCTTGTGAAGAAACTACTCATTCCATTGGTAGCATTTCAATGATTAGATTAATTTAGAAGATCCTTGGGCCATATTTTCAGACACCTCTGATTAAGTTTGTCAGGAATTGTTATGGATGAAATTTTATGAACTGGAGAGTTGGGGGACCAAACAGTAAAGAATAAAAGAGGAACATCTAATTTCCGGCTGAAGCCCCCTCTCCCTCAAAATGGTAAAATATAACAATGCTTTATGAAAAAAAATATCTGAAAGTATTATTTTTCGTCTAATTACAGTTAATATGACTTCAACAATCACTTGAAGATCATTTCATATAGGTAGTTAGTTTCTTTCTTTCTTGCAAAGTCATTATCCTAATACATTTATATAAAAAAAGTCTCCGGCTGAAGCCTTCCTCAATACTAAATCTTGGATCCCTTAGTGCTTGAAGATAAAGTATAATATCTGAAGAGTTCATCAGATTGGATATTTCTATAGTAAGTGGAATCTTCAAAGTATTTTTTATAAGCATAATACTTAGTGATTTATACTTCAGATTTCTAGTTTTTAAGGGCTAGTCCACAAATGAAAAAACAAAATACATGGTAGGCACTAAATTCCACCTCAATAACAGTATTTGCATAGAATGGAAATAGTTTCAAAGGGCAGACAAATTCAAATATGTCGAATCCACTAAAACATTAATGTATGACCAACAGTCGGAAATTGACCAGCATATAACAAGCACAGAGCTTTCTTTCAAAGGTATTGAAATCTAAAGACCTGAACACTAACCAGTGCCCTAGAAAAAACTATTTGGGAGAAAAATCCTCTGAAGAGATCTGGAATCACTAAAACACGGAGGTGAAAGAGCTAGGAAGATAAGGAAATAAAGAGCTGCTTAAAGAAAATGGTCAATCAATATTTCATATGAAGGCAAGGAGGTTAAGATAGATGAGGAATATAGCTCGCAGTAATCAATCTGAAAGTCTTCAGGACAATGAATGCCTAAGTAGTAAGCAAAAGATCACATGAAAGGCAAAAAAAAAAAAAAAAAAAAAAAAAAAATGGATAAATAAAATAACAAAGATGCAATAGAGCTGCATGCAGATAACTGGAAAGAAATAGCCAAAGATGGAGCAGATTTGTTAAGATGGCGAAAGGTCTATAATGCCAACAGAAAAAAAAGTACTTCCAACACAAAAATTGAAGTGCACTACTTCAATTTTTTATCTTTACAAAATACCACATTATGTGAGATAAAATACTCATTTTATAAGTTAAACTTTTCAACTGGATGGGGCCTGCTTATGTAGAATAAACTATAAGAACTATCTGTATCAGTTTCTACAATTTTTTAAACAATAATTTTTAATCTCTAGTAAAATTTACCAAAATTGGGTTATGATGTTTTTGTTGCCTACTACCCATATACTTCCTCACAATAAAGGAAATTTGACAGTAACTACTTAATAACTCAGAGAAAAGGTTATTAAGTATAAGAAATCAAACTTAACTAGACTAAATTAATTATAGTAATTGAACTTTTTAATGAAAATAAGGTAGTAAGGAAATTGACTAAATCTTTTTAACACAAAAAAATTAGAACTTTATTTTTATCTGCATACAGATAGGTATAAGAGAGACACTGTGGAAGTAACACAATACTCAGTCTATTGAATGTTCCGAACATTATATACAAGTAAAATAACAAATTGGAAACCATTAAAATGAAAATAAAAAATATAATTTTCAAGTCATATTTTTTTTTGGAATCATGTATTATTGATGACCTATGGCCTGATGCTTTTTAATAAAATATAATTACAGTATTCTTTTAAACTATAAGTTAAAAGTAATAATCATTTACTGTCTCAATTTCAATGCAACTTAATGACTTTAAATAAAAATAAATAAATATTTTTTTATAAATACATTTTTATAATATCAGTGTAAGATCTGAACTTAAAGAAGCTAAACCTAGATCTGTCCATTTAGATTCAATTTCTTTTAGTGTTAGAGAAGAATCTCCATGGTCTGCTTCAGGGTCTGGTAATTCCATAGCTGGTACTTCAATCTCATTGTATGGCAGCTCATCAGATCTCCAAGCAGAATCTATAATTTCTAAAAGGCGTCCGTCTCTTTGTATTTGGCTATCCATAATTTGGTTTACTATCTTCTATTGGACTGACAATATTTCAACATTTCACCAAACGTCAGGAGATATAACACTTAGTTTGTTGCCTAGTAGGTTAAATTTGTATGAGCAAAGAGGTATTCTTCTCAGCTTCCACAAAGAGATAATGTTTATTTTATCAATTTCGTCCCCATTTCTTTACATATTGTTTAACTTTTGATATTGGTTAAATAAAAAAATACTATACTCCCGGTATTTATATGTAAAATACGTGACAATGAAGTTAGAACCCAGATTAATCCAAATGCAAAATTTGCATGTTTTATGGATACAGGAATAATAAAATCTGTGAATCTTACTTGAATTTTATTGTAGTTTATTAATGTTTAAGGAGAATGGGAGCAATTTACTATCGATTCCTGAGACCGAAAACCTTTCCTTTTTTTTAGTAGGAAGCTGATTTCTTTAACTTTGAGTAACTTATCTATGTAATATATAGTAAGGGCTATTCTGCTATACCCACGGGCTGATCTACGGGGGAGGGGCTTTCGGGCTGAAGCCCCTCCCCCAAAATGGTGAAACATAACCATGTTTTATCGAAAAAAATATTAAAAAATTATCTCTTAAGATATAATTATTCGTGTAATTACATTTAAAAGGGCTTTAGGAATCACTTAAACTCCAGTTCATATAGGTAGTTAGTTTCTTTCTTATTTACCAAAGTAATTATTGTTATTTTTATGAAAAAATAAGCTTTCGGGCTGAAGCCCCCCCCCAAAATTAAATCCTGAATCCGCTAGTGGCTATACCTGCTAGTAGATAGATAGAGTCCTGTGTAATCGAACTATAATTTACAAGACCGATGAGGTCATGAACTTCACATTATAGCAATATGTTGAGAGGGCTGAGCCCCCAAAACTGCAACATTGGGAGGCTCAAGCCCCGCGAGCCCCTAATAGTCGGCGCCTATGAATTATATTGAACGACGCCTACGGTTGGGACGTGTACTTTTGAGGAGGTTCACAATTACCAATATCTTGCCTCAATTATCAGTCTTAGAATGAATAAATAGAAAATTAACTTTTGCTAGGAAAACAAAATCGTACAACAAAACTATTCGCTACAAAACGCTGATTTGACATATGATGTAGATATGAAATTCTTGAAAAACTAAACAACACAGATTTGGACACGTCATAGACATACATCTTCAGGCACATTGTAGTACTAATCTAGGAAAACTATGAGTGGGGAAGTAAAAAACATGCAGTCTAGAGATACTACGGTGATATGAGCATGGCTTATTTTCCTAGGAAAAGGTACAAGGCCCAGACTTTCCATTTTGGTTGGGGGGGGGGGAGGATGTGGACCATATCCTCTTTCCTCCCCTCAAAAATCCTCAGGAGTTAATATTAGTTATTAAAATTATGGGTGATAACACTGTTCTGCATCAAAATTCTCCCTTTAACGGAAATGTTTGTTTATGTTTTGAGGTATGATGAACACGAATTCAAATGCAGAAAATCGCTATCATTTACCATTTCGTGTCAAATTTGTTTTGTGGGTCAACAAATAAGGTGTTAACACTACTACAATGTATTGCAACATAAAAAAATTCTGAGAACTCAAGTATTAAGATTCAAGAATTTTTTTGGCCACATATCCGCCCTCTATTTAAGGATCTGGAATTCAATGAATAATTTAATAAAAATGAAAAAAGAACTTGGTTTGCTTTTGAAAGCGTGTGTCAACAATTTTATGGCAACGAAAGAACTACAAATTACTAAGAAATTGTTTTTAAAAAATGCTTTTATCAAATAAGGCTATGCGTTAAATACAACATGTCATTAAAAATTTATTTTTTCACTTTCATTTGGATTTCTTCATTTTCAACTTGGGAGCAGTTTCAAATGAACATGGAAGACATTTTCATCAACATTTAGTCTAAAGGGAGATGTATAGCGATAAATACAATGAGAAAATGCTTGTGCTGACTAATGTTGTAAATTGAGACAGCTGATGAACACTATAAAAGGGGAAAGTATACACACTGACTAGGCGTAAAGTTATATTATGTTCAGGATTAAATAGTTTAAATATTATTATCATTCACAAGAAAATAAATAAACAAATGACGTAAAAAAACATGCTATTTCAGTTTTTCCCAAAGAACCTTAATTCCACCAAAATTGGTGCCTGATAGAATTTTTTAGGCTTCAGATTCGAACTCAGCACCCATGAAAATATAAATATCAGGAAAAATTTCTCAAGAGAGAAAAACCATTTTTTTTTGCAGAATAGTGTAATTAATAAAATCAAGGTAAGTATTGTGAAACGAGCTATATAATTTTAAATACATTTATTTATTACTACTCCTGGCGCTACAAATGTGGTCCTTGGTCTCCTCTAGAAGTCTTCTCCAGATAGTTCGATCTTGTACCGCCGCTTGGCAGTTGGAGATGTTGAGTAGGTTGCGGGCATCCCTAGCAATAGTGTCCTCCTATCTGTGACGAGATCTTATTCTTTCTCTTATCTGGTGGAGCATCCCATCCAGCAGTTTCCAGGGCATTTCTTCTTCCGGCATGTGTGCAACATAGCCAGCCCACCGTATATTTAACAACCTTTTTCTTCTTCGCCTTTCCCACAATGACATTTCTAGCGTCGAGGAGCCTCTATGCAGCACAGCCACTCTTCCCGGTCTCTGCTTAAC